GGAAAACGAAAAGGCGGCCAAGAATTTTTGGGTGATCATTGCGCTCGCTTACGCGAAGCGAAAGCAGATCGACCATGCCATCGACATTTTGACTAAGGGTCTGGCCTCCGTCGCCCACGGTGCGACAAAGGAGAAACTCGGCCTGCTGGGCTGGATCTGCTGGATGCTGCTGTTGAAGAGCAGACACGCTCCTCGAGTCGCACCTGAAGGGGAACTATACTCGGAAGCCAAGACCAAAGATCACTACCTCCAACTCGCGACTTCAACGTTGAACGAGGCTTCGCGACTCAACCCGGCTTATCCTCCTCTCTTCCTGGCGCGTGGCGTCTTGTGTCTTCTCCGTGCATCACTATACCCTCCCCGTGCTGTTCGTCCGGGCGCGATTGATACCTCTGAAAGAGTCGAGTCCCTCCGACAGGCCCTGAAATGTTTCGACGAGTCATCCAAGGCCTTTGGTGGCCGGAACATCATGGCTATTCTGGGACGTGCCCGTGCGCATTATATGCTGGGAAGATACGCAGATGCACTCGAAGGATACCAAAAAGCTCTGATCAAGATGCCTAACCTCACAGACCCTGATCCTCGTATTGGTCTAGGATGCTGCTTGTGGCAGCTGGGCTTCAAGGATCAAGCCAAGGTAGCTTGGGAGAGATCATTGTCTCTGGTATGTTGAAAAACCCCCCACATATCTCTGTTCTTCATAAATAGGTAACTAACCGCCATCGCTATGCAGAATCCCGAGTCCAAGGTTGCCAATGTCCTGCTCGCAGTTTACTACCTCCACGACAGCTCTCGCCGAGCCACCACCGACCCTATGTTTGGGTCAATGTACAAATTAGCCATGACTCAATACACCCAAAAGGCATTCAAGCTGGACAAGGAGTACCCGATGACCTGCTCCATGTTCGCCAGCTACTTCCTCCTCCGCAAATCATATCCCACCGTCGAGACATTGGCACGCAAAGCCATCGAGCACACAGATGTTATGGCTATTGCTAGTGACGGCTGGTACCTTCTTGGTCGTAAGTCGCACTATGAAGGCGACGAAGCTCGTGCCACGGAGTTCTATAACCGTTCGGATCAAGCCCGCGGTGGTGTCGACAAGGGCTATCTTCCTGCCAAATTCGGCGCCGTGCAAATGCAGATCACGAACAAGGACTTCGACGGTGCCAAGTTCCGACTAGAGAAGATTGTTCAGCAATCCAAGAACCCGGAGGCGATGACCCTCCTTGCTGCTATTCATGCGGAAGAAGTCTTCGCTGCTCAGAAGTCAGGCAGCAAGGAAGACAAGTCGACCGAGGCAAAGCGAGCCATCACTCTGCTTGAGTCGGTGCGCTCCATGTGGAAGGATGAGAAGCAAAATATCTCTCCCGACGAGTCGGTTCTTGTTTATCTTTCCCGTCTTTATGAGGGCACGGCTCCAGATAAGAGCATGCAGTGCCTGACCCAACTGGAACAGATCCAGATTGCTGAAATTCCCGAGGATGCTCGACCTGATATCGAGGATCAGGATAAGCTGAACGCTGCTCTTAGGGAGAGTCTCCCGCCGCAGCTCCTCAACAACATGGGCTGCTTCCTATACCAGAACGAGAAGATTGCTCTGGCCCGTGGCTTGTTCCAGTCTGCACTCAACGCCTGCGTGCAATCTAAAGAAAAAGAGGATGGCACTGATACCGATGCGCTCGTCACCACAATCAGCTACAACCTTGGACGAACTTACGAGGCAGCCGACATGTGGGACGAAGCCAAGAAGGTCTACGAAGGTCTTCTGGAGCGTCACGCCGACTACACGGAGGCTAATGCGCGCCTGACATATATTGCCCTGCGCCAGAGCCCTACAGACGAGGGCCCTAAGAAGATTGGCAAGCTTTACGAAGCGGACAGCACAAATCTGGAAGTTCGGTCACTCTACGGATGGTATCTCAGCAAGGCGAAGAAACGAGTCGCCAACCTTGCTGAAGATAGCGAGCAACGTCACTTCAAACACACGTTGCAGTACTATGACAAGCATGATCGCTACGCGCTGACTGGAATGGGTAATGTGCATCTCCTTGCCGCCCGTGACATGCGCCGCGACACAGACCAAGAGAAGGAAAAGCGTCGCAAGATTTACCAGCGAGCTGTGGAGTTCTTTGACAAGGCTCTCCAACTGGACCCCAAGAACGCATATGCCGCCCAGGGTATTGCGATTGCCCTGATCGACGACAAGAAAGATCACAGCTCTGCTGTACAAATCTTGTCCAAGATTCGCGATACGCTGAAGGACCCCAGCGTCTACCTCAACTTGGGACATGTCTACGCTGAGCTCCGTCAGTTCTCACGGTCAATCGAACACTATGAGGCTGCATTATCGAAGGATCGCCAGCGCGATGTGCAAATCCTGGCTTGTCTTGGTCGTGTATGGTGGCTACGAGGCAAGCAGGAGGCGAACTTGGCCGCAATGAAGACAGCACTAGACTATGCCACGCGCGCTCGCAACGTCTCTCCGGATCAGCTTCACCTGCAGTTCAACGTTGCTTTCGTGCAGAACCAGATCGCCTCGCTCGCATACGGTCTACAGCCTACCCAGAAGACACTCCAGGATGTCCAAGAGGCAGCGGAGGGTCTCAAGGAGGCCATTGAAACCTTCGAGCGTCTTTCCAAGGAGAAGAACCCGCCCTATCCCAGCGCCGCATTGGAGCAGCGAGCCAACATGGGTCGTACAATCAGCAAGCAGCTTGACCGAGCCATGCAGAGCCAGAAGGAATATGAAGAGAAGAACGCTGCCAAACTGCAGCAAGCCCGTGAAGCCCGCGAAGAAGCCGCACGGGTCCGGGCAGAGGAGCTGCGCAAGGCGCAAGAGGTTGAGATGGAGCGCAAGAAGCGCATCGCCGAGGAACGCGCTCAGATGGTCGAAGAGGTACAGCGACATGCCGCGCAGCGCGCTGAAGACGATCGCGCTCGTGAGGAAGCCGAATTGACCAACGACTCTGAGACCGGTGATCGGATCAAGCGCAAGAAGAAGCCTACCAGCAAGCGCAAGAAGAAGGGCGGGGACGATTTCATCGCGGACGAAGAGGAGGGCGATGCTGCGCACAGCGCGCCCGAGAGCGAGGGCGAGACGGCGCCTAAGAAGCGTCGCCGCTTGGAACGCCGATCGGGTGGGAAGGCTCAGGCTGCCAAATCCGAGAAGCCTGGCAAGTATAAGAGCAGTGAGATGGTTGTTGACTCTGATGATGAAGAGGCTGGGTCTGGCGGCGAAGACAAGGACGATCTGTTTGGCGACGATGAGGAGCCGGCTGAAGAAGCTGCGCCGCGCCGTCGTGCCAATGCCTCTCGCCGTATTGCTGATGATGACGAGGACGAGGATGAGGAAGAAGAGGTGCAACAGGAAGTGCAAGCCGAGAAGTCTGGCATTGAGGACGACGATGAACTATTCGGCGAGGAGCCTTCGAAGCCTAAAACTACGGAGGACACAGAGATGCAGGAGTGAATTGCCATATTACTTTTTTTTTTTTGTTCCTATTCGTTCCATTTTCCATATTCCTCCAGGCGTCTGGGAAGGGCCCACTGAACTGCAATACATTTCTTCCCTTTGGACTTCCACATGTAATTTATTAGCCTTATCTACCAAAAAATCATTGTTCAAACAAGACCATTGAGATCAAAAGTACTCCAGGTAATGGTAAACGCCACAAGGAACGACGCCACGAAGAACGGTCAAATACCGGCTTTTACAGATCTAAAAAGCCGTAAGAAAAGGGAAAATACATCCATATTCACTGCGCATCTAAACTCGAAATGGAAGATGGGGAAAGGAAATAAATTAAAAACGGAATCCAGGCCCAAGCGCACGCATTTAATGTAACTCCATATTCCGTAGAACGAATCTGCTCAGGCGTAATCTCCACTCGGATTTCCGCTGATAGTCCGTACCTAGATGGCTTAGAAATGTCAGACGAGGCTTGCGTAGCCCCTTGGTTTGCACCGTTACTGGTGGGATTAATCCCTGCTCCCATATGGAGAAGCTGCTTAGCTGCTTGGTCGGTGCATTAGTGCCTCATGTAACTGCATATGGTAGTAGGTGTAGCCCTGGGTTGTGTATCATATCTGTGTCAGGGTTGGATTGGGGGCTATCTCGTTAATTAGGGCAAGATTTTGGGTTTTATCTGTTGGAATAAGATTGTCTGTTCGGAGTGCGGAGGACTCCGTACTGTCTTTGGATATCTAGATGACTGATAGAGTATAGAGTATACATCCCTCTCTTAAAATCGAACTTTCACTTACACGGAATTATTTCAAGGGTTCCTAGAATAGCAGGCAGCGATCATCGTATCTAAATCCACTATATCGACATGGAAAATTGATACCACCTAACGCCCCAGTGGGACCCAAAAGCGATAGGTACTTTTGATCGGCTACGTTACAAGAAATCTCTTTGAGAGGTTCTAGGTTACGGAAGACAACCCTATTTTAAGCTTGAAGGTTCTACGGAGTACGAATTTCCATTTTGATAGATTTGGAAGATTCCAGGGTTAGGGCTCACTTTGGGCCCTCTTGTTATGAGATCTCCAAACGTATTATATTAGAGAGGGGGAAACGATAGTGCGCCTCAATTTCTATTAAACCCCACTTGGAAGAAAAACGAAAACAAAACATATCAAGAGCTCAGGATGTCATGATATCAACGGGAGGCGCCGTTTTGGGGGCCAAACAAGTCAAGGATCAACAAGCTATCTTGATACAATTGACTGTTCACTTCTCTCTATTGTGTACGATCATGTTGAAAAGGCCAGTCACCAGGACCTGTTAATCCGTAACCCTCATTGGACATCGACAACCACCACATCGCAACTACGCATACGCCATCGATCGAGGAACCATCTCCACCCAAGTAAGACACAGTCCAAGCTGGTGCTTAAGCTCCTAGAGCACATCGGATATCATGCAGTAAAGGATTGTCCAGTTCGAATTAAGCTACTCCTACTATCGATGAGTACAAACGTACCAGAGTCCAGTCCATGCCTCCAACAACCACTCCAGTTTGAACCCATATAAAAATGCGTTAGACTTTTGTCACCCCCGTCCGTTTCACGGCCACGGCACTTGCTGTCTCTGTCCCCAATAAGGCTGAGGTGGGCGGTGATGGCGGCATTGCCGTTAATGTCGGTGACAAGATCATTGGTCTTATCAAGTCTGATTCTGAGGATGTTATCGGCCAGCTTTGTGCGGTCAACGCGGGCCATAATGATATTATCAGAGTTATCAAGCGTGGTGGTTACGAGGACTTCGGTTCTGACGTTATCGGCTTGGTGTTGTTAACGTTGGCGGTGATGATACCATCGGATTTATTAAGTGCTAGGATCTGGTAACAAGGAGACAGAGTAGATAACAAGGGCATCCTTGGATAGGGTATCCTCAGTCCAAGCTCTCAATGAACTATTCGAGTGGACTCGAATGGATTCCTGCATTTCAAAGTCGAAATATATTGCACAAAGAACTGGCCTTATGGGTTTGGCTTATCACTTTTAATCTATAAGTGTTGGTGGCTGGAAAATTGAAAGTCTAGGCTTCAATATTTCACCGCATTTCTGAAGCTTTGAATATGATGTAGACAAAGCCCGAACAACTATTCCCAATAGTCTATCATATGTTTGTACGCTATTTGGTCATGCCGAAGAACTCAGCCGTGAAAGTCACATGTATCACAAATGTTTGCAACGTGAAAGGAGGTCCCTGTATACCAACACGGCTAATCCCTGCTATGCCCTAATATGTACTTAAAGTCTAATGAACAATGCCAGGTTACATCAAGATCGGCACCCTGGATCGTCGCACATAGTACGGAGTAGCATTTAACACAATCGGCGCGCCTATCAGTGGTATACGGTCTAATAGGCTCAGTCTCAATAAGATGGCAGATGTCCCCCCTATACTACTCCGTAGTTACAATATTAGATTGATCCATTCTCCACACGATAGTTCCGGGCTCATACATATGTACTTTACCCAGATAGGCGACCGCTGGATGCTCAGCCTAAGGTGATAGCGCATTACCAGATCCAGCGGGAAAATGACTCGGGAAAATGACGGAACACAGTTTCAATTGACTTTACGGAGTCCGATATACAACATACAATATGCGTAAATGTAAAATTAAAAAAAAGACCTCGGGAAGTAGCTTCCCCAGGGGAATTAGATCTGTCGATCGGAATGGGAACGTGTTCGTGGGCCATGTGAAGTTAAAGGAGTCAAGTTTCATATTCTAGAATGTGTCCCTTCAAACCTTGAATGTCACACTATTCTCCCCTACTCCCTATATTATATCTATATTATATATACTAAGCCGCATTTTTAATTATATAGAGGCTCCATTTAAATTGAATTTTCCATACCCTAAAAGTCTCCTACTCTATTTGATCTTCCTTTGTCGAAGTGTCAAAAAAATAAAATAAACAAAGAGATCCAACAATCGACACTCCAATTTCCGGGCATAGTCCGTACTGCAGATCTGGCCTGAGGAAGAACACCGGGGACGCTTGGGCCTATAATATAAACAGGGACGGTGGACGATCATAGACGCGAACGGCCGGATATGAGGAACGTGCTGCTTAGTTGGACCTTCTGGAAGGGGATAATAGTATAACCTCGGGGGTAGATCTATAGTTCAAACATGTGGACGGGGTGAGCAATTAAGAATATAAAGCCGCACTACGCAGGTACAATATGTAGGAACAGTGTTCTCAGGACATGTTCTAGACAACGAGATCGTCAGGAGTCCACTTTACACTTCGATACTAGCGGTATATTGTCTGAAATAGATTTTTTTTTGCTTTTCCTCTCCCTTGTTTCGAATGGTGCTAGCTGCAGACCTTAGGTCCACTTCCACACAAGATAGGAAGCTGCCTGACGTAGAAATATTAGAATATGTATACGAATCACTACAACGGTAAAAGGTAATTATGTGCTACAATAACATAGCAATTCTATATGCTCTACGGAGTACAACGTAGGGTGATACAGTACTAGTATGCACATACCAGGCACAATATACCCCGCCCTGAGACAATGCAACTCCCCGACAGGTAAAATGTAAGGACGCGGTGGTTCCCGGATAGTCACATTCTTCAGCTTCAACTTGCATCCCCGAGGTAGTGTGAAGTTCTTTACTCCGTATGTGTTTTACATTTGCTTCAAAAAAAAAAAAAGAAAGTTCGCTTCCAATTTGCATGAGATAGGGGACCGGCAGTCCCCGAGGCTCTAACCCTACAGTTAGGTATGATCACAGGAACAAATTTGCATGGAGATCCTTGTCCACCTTTTCCCAGGGATGTCGAAGTGTAAAAGAGAAATGCCGAGTGCAATAGCACATGTATACCTAGGCTATAATACCATAAATCTCTGGTAATACGAAGTACAATGTGATTATGAACTTATGGACCCCACTGCCGGAACCCGAAAGTAGATTGCGATCTATTCCCAAGCCCTACTTTTCAATCAGTCTTAGGGCCGGATTAGTTAGAAACCGTTGAACCGAGGCTCCGCTATACGCGGGGAAGGGAAGAGGCGTTTATAGGTCTCAGGCCTCATGCAAGGCAGAGATTATAGGGAAAGAATATTATCCCACAAAGAAATGAAAGAGATTATTATGTGCCATATATATGTACTTAAGAGGAAAGACCACTGTGCGCCCCAACTTATCGTGATAAGGGCTTCTCTCCACTCCACGGGGGCTCCTCACGTTGCTACCTTGGTACAGTAAGGAAATAAAAAATATTGAAAGAGTTCTATATTACCATTGGATATTTAAATGTATATCTTGTCCAATGACACTTCTTACTAGGATAATATGCACGGAGTACGAGTGCAACATACCTACATAGTACCTACATAGTACCTACATATGTGCTTTCTAGCCCTGTAGAACAATCTATAGGGCAGATCGCGTATATCTTCGTATCCCGTGTCCGGGTCAAAGCTAACGGTAAAACCTTTCTTGGAATCTGAAAAGGAAAAGAATAAATAAAAATAAAACCAGAACGGGACGTATCGGACGGATACTTTCTAAACAAGGTATAGCTCCTTTCATCTTCCCCACACGCGGGTCCCCAGCACGTTCAGAACCAACCCCCTGGCTCGATGTATATGCCACTAGGGCACTTGGGTTTCGGCTCCGTGTCACTGGGAATTCTTTGGCATGGGGATGTACCTTGGTTCAAATATTACGTATTGTATTTACTTTATTATTGTTTGTGTATAGACTACTACTAGTACTAGTAGAATATGATAGAACAAAAACCCGGCTGAGTGCATGGTGTAACCGCTCTAATTCAAACAAAGAGAGATAATAGATCAGAAAATAGATCAAAAATAAGATATAACATCATATACTAATAATGGAAAAAGAAAAAAAAAAGGAAAAGGAAAAGTAAATACCATAAATACCCCTGAAGGCGGCTCCACTGTCTTGTATTGCCCCCGTCATCGAGTATTCTATTAATTTATTATCATCAGCACCTCTCTCTGTTCCACTCGAGAACCGTTCCTTTCCACTTTCGCTTTATGTAGACGGCGGAGATCTCCAGATTTCCCTTATCATGGTGTAGTTTCTTTCCTTCACTTCCACCATGTCGACCTCTACAATGGCTAAAACCTGGGACGACGACGACCGTCCGTCAACAAACTCCTCCAACGAGTACCCAGAACATGCCGCACATATCCGATCCAGGTCCATTGCCCTCGCTAATAGCCCCAAACGGATCTCCGTCTTTCGTGGTCGTTCAAGAAGCAATACCACCACCTCGACTTCTTCACGCCGCTCACCGGGTTCCTCTATGACCTCGACAGATAGTTCAATTGCATCTGACGAGCGAGCCGTCTCGTCATTAGGGCTTCGCTCCGATAAGCAGGACAAGTCGTCCCGGTCCTTTTTGGCGCGGGGAAGCCGCATCCTGCGCCGACAGGGTAGCAAGATCAACATTGTCGCCACGCTGGACGAGGAAGATGAGGTCGATCGTGAGAAGGCTAGGCCCGAGAGAGAGATATTCGGCCGTCGTGCCCGCCAGACCGATCACAGTAAGTGTGCCGGCTCAGTGGACAGTTGAAATTGTGGACCCAATTGACCCCGGGAATTGATATAGGCGAGCGCTTGAAAAGCATCATCTCTGATCCTTTTGACTTCCACCATTTGACTCATACCAACCCCTCGCAGTTCCAGTCTTTGGATCAAACCCGTGAGAATGACCTCGTCACGGAGTTCTCGGCCATCCGAGCATCTCAACGCCCCCAGACCGGTCTGAAAGGCATCCGCGCCGAGGACATTCATTTCCGCAATTTCTCCAGTGATGACCTGCGTGCGCTTGGAACCGCTACCACGGTTGATGTGCCTAGTGTAAGCCCACCGGCCTCTCCAAAAGCACACCGGCACCACACACGCCGAGAATCCCGCATCAACGAGAACTTCTCTCGGCCAGTCTCCAGATATCCCCGGTCCTGCCCCACCACTCCCCCACCTCCTCTTGTGCCAGAGAACCCCCCACCGGAGACTGATGAGCCCGCACCCCGTGCCATTGATGAGATCCTGGGCTTGTCGACTGCGATGACGTACCCCGACCTCCAATCAGTGCAGCCAACCCGGTTTTTCAGCCCCGAACCCACAGAGGATGGCGCCAGGACCTCGTCCATGAGCAGCCACTATGATCTGGAAGATGTCCCCGAGGAAGAGGAAGGAACCCGGTACTGGGACAGCTCTGAGTCCAGCGTGGGCTGCCCCCATTCTCGCTCAACTTCTCAAACCAGCCCACCTCGAACCGATGCTCAGTCACCCAGCACCAGCGAGCGCAAAGCTCCATTGTCAATCTACGTGGCCGAGGAGCTCTCCAGGAAGTTCTCTGAGGCCCTGGGCTCGCCAACTCTCCCGCAATATCTTCAGGACACCCCTCGCGCCCAGGTGGAGGTCACACCCCCGAGCCGATCGCCAGCCTGCACTTCTCATACGAGGATGAACTGTATGACTCGTGGGACGCAGACATCGACTACTGCTATGAGCACGCAGCCGAGTCCACCTCCAACTTCGATTGGTCTCGCACATCCCTGGACGAAGCACGCCCTCAAGTTGGTGTAGCCTGCAGCGAGGGCCCCTGGCTCGCCCCAAGAACCCGACAGCTCCAGCCGAGCCCACTGAGCACCTCCGCCCTACCAACCCCAGACCTGACTCCCAGTCCAGCCCAGTCGATGCCCTCCCACTCAGCCGCCACCCCCTCAACTACAGACTTTGAGCAGGAGTTCATTGCGCGGGGCGCAGACTATTTCCATCCCGTCAGTTCCTCGATCCTCCCATCAATGGGCAAACACCTCTCCCAAGAACCATTGTACGAGGAGTACATGACGACTGATGGCGAATCAGACCGCCATTTCCCCTTCTCGCAGGGCATGATGGGCCCCATCTCCCCACGCAACAGCTTCTCCCCGATTAGCAAGTGCAACTCACAGGAGAGCCTGATGCTCTCCCGCGCAGCCTCCATCGTGCGCAAGCACCGCTCCTCCGTCTCAACGACAACCAGCGTCCCAGAGCTCATCTATAGCTTGTCCAGCAGCCGCGAACTCATGCCAACGGACCGCATGACAGCTGGTGAGGCACTCACCCGTCCTGCATCTTCCTCCCACCACCGCCAGACCAAGAGTCTGGCCGAGGCGCACCTCCGACAGAATGGCAGTAGCACGAGTCTCGAGGGCGCGGATCTTCCCGTGTCACTTCATGACCGCGCCAAGTCCACTTCAGAGGTTGAGTCCCAACCCATGAAATTCGAGGTTCCTATGCCTCCTGTTCCTGCCAGAAACCCGAACCGGAGGAAAGCTCGCTCACCCTCTTACTCTCTCTTCCCAACAACCGCTCACTGAGTGTCACTATCGTTATCATCAACCCCCTATTTTGTGTTGATATTTTCCTTTTTTCACCCCCTTGCATATGATCTATCTGAGGTCACAACTCTCGCTTTGTCACCTGATAGACTCTACTCTCATCCATCTCTCAACGAGTTCACGATCTGTGTTTTCCTATTGTCTTTGTTTTATGTTTCTTGTCTTTGCCTGTGAGCCATATGTTTTTCTTTTATGTTCTGTTCTGCGTGTTTCAGCTGTGGTCATTCTTTCACCTCGATGCATTTCTCAGCGATAGCGAAATTTTTACTGGCCTGGTGTATTGGAAGGGCGATTTGGGAAAGAGAAAAGAGGAAAAGGAAAAGGATCTTTTGGAGGAAATTTGGAATTCGTTTTTGGGTCATTCGCTAGTCTCTGGTTTTTTTCTTGCCTTGTTATAGACTTTGATTCTTATAGAGGAGCTGATCTGCTCCAATACCATCCATGGTTTGATTGGAATTTGCAATAGCTCCATTGTAAAGAAGAACATGCGTAGCTCATTATTCTTTGTATTATCATGGTCCTTCTATGAGATTGATGGCCTTGAATCAAAGACCTGATAGACGACCTATACTAGACCGGTGCATGGGGTGTATCAGGATGGCCGTAGCGAATCACCCTTGGGACAGGGAGACTTCGTTGCTTCTAACCTTGTGTCTGTTGTTTACACTTGGCTAAAGGGGAGATATGAAAGAAGGGACGCAGGTGGCAAGTCAAGTATGTAGTCATGTCTTGCTTGTGATAACATAGTATTAAAATCATTCAGTACATAACATCTTCAAGCAGCACTAGTACATGTTTTTCTGTTTCTCTGTTTCATCTCTCTCGTCGCTAAAACCGAGGCCATATATCATCAGGAATCAAAGCACAGCTGCCCCATTCCACAACCCCCAGGAAGGAGGCTCACTCCTGGGGATTGGTACCATCACGTTTTCATATCTCCGGTTTTCGAGGTAGGAGAGATTTCGATAAGTAAAATTCCCAAGCGAGGTATCGGTAAGGGCTTCGAAGGTATGTCGGGGACTCAATTCCATGTACTTCGAATCTAGTTTGAAAACTTCAGGCTCGTCCCATGACCTTTCTCCTGCGTTAACACTCCATCGGGGATCATCTGAGCTGAGACCGGGTCCTAGGTTGATCCATCTCGTCATCACTATGGTGACATGACCATCTGGTCGGTTTTTGAACAGTTCAATATCAATGTCGGTGTTGCAACTGCCGCAGTTCGAATGAAAATGGGCGGGATATGCGTCATGAGTAATATATTGCATCCAAAATCCTTCCGAGTGGTGTTTGCAAACTCGGAAAGTTGCAAAGTACTCTTGTTCCACATCACAATAGTATTCGTCTTGGGCGGTCGATGCTATGCTCCTCGTAGACATAATATCCTGAATACGCAACAACAAGCTCGGTGGCTTAGGGCATATCTGTGCCTCAATCGAAAATAGAGTAGTCGGTCTGGCGACTCTGTCTCCCCAACAAAAGTCATCTCTCACTTCGGTGAAGGACAGTGCACCCGTGCTAATCCCGTATTGGGGACCGCAGTAGAATCGTCTCATAGCAAGGTGAAGATGAGAAAAATGTAACCTATAATGAGACAGTGTATCGGGAATATCGTTATGTATAATCATCGACAAATGATACCGTGAATGATGCTCAGATGCACGTACACAGTCAACACGAGGCGGGTATGGAAAGGTATGCGTCGGGTGTGCTATCTCAAAGCGCTCTGATATACCGTTCAAATTATGAAGGATTGAGCAGTCATAGCAAGCTAAGTAGCGTGGGTGATCGTGTTCGAGCCGATGTAAGAAAGACAACCGGGCATTTCGTTCCAAGTCTTGGTGCTTCTTCCGGTTTGTGAATATTGCGAGAAGTCGGTAGTTGCAAAGGGAGACGCAGTAGATATCCTCAAGGGGAAGAAAATCTGCTATACATAGCAATAGCTCAACAGGAAGGGCACTTAGGAAATCTGGTCCTGGAGTTTTCGTGGTAGGAGATGTAATAAAGATGGGTTTCAGATATTGGCGTATATCTTGGGGCCAAGGAAGGGGCGCGATAGGAATGTTCTTGAGAGCTTGCTTGATGCTAGGAGGATTCGCTCTCATCGAGTCCAACATTGTGGTATATAGTGCAGCCATGTAGATAATGATGATAAGCCAAATAAGCAAAAGGATATCAGTAGTTAGAAGAAATAAAAGGGTTGAAGAGCATTCCAAGTGTAAGAAGTTTATAACTCACGGTTATGAGTAAATATGATGACTTTTGTAGTCCCGAAGAGGCTTAACACCAATATGAAGGCTATCTTGGAAGTCTAATCTATACTTATATACCTATATACGAAATAGTAGCTAAGAATAAGCCATGGCTATTTATATCTAGATCTATGAATAAGTATCTATGAAATGATTTTGTGGCATACATCTGACGAGGACAGAGCTGGAGGGCTGGGTGGGTTCCGACTATCGAAAGGTAAGACGATTGTATACCAAATCTGAAAATAAGCCTTGTCTATAAAGCTTATGACTGTAAGATCAATACATACATACTACATGTATGTATGTATGTATACCCTAGCTCATACCTAGGTATGATCTATGCAAGTGGCGTCTGAAGTATGCTTTCCTAAAGCGGTTAGATCAAAATCATATGACCTTATCCGTCTTATCGCCACTCAGGCATCTCTCTTTCCTTATTCCCTCAAGCCTTTCCTCTACAAATATGGCGTCTCCTCCTTCGCAGGAGCTGGTCAAGCAATCTGCTGGCCAGCTTATGCCCCCTCCGCCGCCTCCGAAGCGAATCAAACGTCCCGCGACTGTCCTTGATGAAGATGTTTACACCAGCACTTTGTCCCACATTATCGCCCGCGACTTCTTTCCGGGATTACTCGAGACACAGATGAAACAAGAGTACCTGGAAGCCCTTGAATCAAAGGATAAAGCATGGATCGCAAGTTCGAAGAAGAAGTTGGCAGGCGTCATGCGCACGCCCACCCCAGGGTCGAATGTAAGGCGAAAGTCAGACTATGCATCGGTCCCGAGCACACCACAGCATTTCCCGCCTGGACAGCCGGGTGACACTCCGCATGGCTGGGGAGGCGACACCCCCATGTCTGTCATATCGACCTCCACATCGGCAACTGAATCGCAAGACCGGCATATTCCCGATGTATCGAATATGGGACTGGTCGCCTTCCAGGCAAAGTATACCAGCGAAGACAACGAGTCCTTCAACAAAGTCCTGGACAAGCAGAATGAAAAGCGACGGGAGAAATATCCCTGGCTTTGGAGCGGGAATAAAATTCCCTCTGCCCGACAGATTGCACACCACCAACAAGAGATCAAGCGCATCACAGCTCAAGGCGGAAACCCGGAAATGGGCCTTATCAAACGAGATGAGCTTGCCCAGCCTGCCATTAAAACAGACCTAGATGCCCGCCCCGCAAATCCAGACACGTGGAAAATCCGACCAGACAACACCCTCATGTTCCTCCCCTCTTCGGTTGAGGATACCCACGAGACACTCCCGCAGAAAGCAGAAATGACATCCCGAGCCGGCCTCAAGCGGACTCTCTACCAAAATACCAGACTTCTAGACCCACATGCCGCAGCAGCAGCGGACGCCGCCAGCGCCGTGCCCCCTTCACCCTCGCTATCCGCTATCCAAGACGCCATCGCCGGCCGTCCGCGTCTCAGCGAGTCCGAAGCTGCATCCGCTTTCGCAGGAAGCGAAACCCCGAGGGTCAACGGATACGCCTTCGTCGACGAAGACGAGCCCGAGCCTGACTTCACATATGGCTCCAGCTCCAAAACTGACGACATGGAAGCCGACTGGCGCCTCCTCGGGCCGACCTCTGAAAAGCCAAATCCGTTCCAACTTGGCGAGACTCGCAAGCGCGAAGCCCTGCACCACCGTATGGTCGACCGTGTGGCACGAAACAAGCGTGCTGAAAAGGCCGCTCGTGTCACGAAGACGCCTGTCTCATTGACGCCGCGTTTTGCTAGTAGTCCTCGCTTGGACTTTGGGTCTCGGTCTACGCCCGGGCCTGGCTCTAGTAGGGGCTCTGTATCTGGTGGAGGACATCAGGGAAAGATGCTTACCCCTGCAGCGCACAAGCTGTTACAGCAGGTTGGGGGTACGCCGAGGTCTGGAGAGAGGAAGTCTGGACTGGGGAATATTTGGACTCCTACGCCGAAGCGCAAGTGATGGTGGCTTATGACTTTGTTTTTATTATTTTCTAGCTGCATGATACCACGGAACTGATAGACTCCAACGGCGTTTCATTATTGCATATTATTCTTCTCCGGAAACAATCACATATGCGGGTATATCCCATTTTTAGTCAATTTTGCATAGTATGAGCATGAATATAGCAGTAGCAGTTCAAGCAATATAGACATGAGTTCATAGAGTGGGACATCGGAACGAACAGGAACCACGAAAACAGTTCTTATCCGGTCCCGGTACTTCTTCGGCTTTTTATTGCAACGACATGCCCATAAATATCATACATCCTTGCGGAACGGGATCTTTGGAAGTCGAGATTTGGTGTAGAACTTGTGTGGGTTTGCTCTATAAATTTCTGAAACGTTACTAACGAGAGAACAGATTCTGATTTGAGACTACATTGGTCTATGATTCAAATTGCTTGTATTTGATCTCTATATTTGGTATATCAAAATGAGCATCGAGACATCAGAGAGCCAGACTGCTCCATTGGCAGCAACATCTGCTACTGCATCTGGAAATATCTCAGCCAAAGAGACCATTCCACAAACAGAGACATCAACATCCGAAGAGAAAGAGAAAGACACATCCCAATCTTCAATCTACTCTCCAGCGAACCTACTCTCAAGTCTCCTCTCCCCATTCTCTTTCTCAAGCCCGTCTCCAAGCAACAACGAAAAAGAAAAAGAAAAAGAGACCAAAAATCCAACTAAAATATCAATCGAAACCCCAATCTCAGACTCAACCACACAGCCAACCCCAGTACCATATTACACGCCCGAAGAAACACCTCTCTACAAAATCCTCTACAAGACCCGTTTAACAAAAACCCGCACAAAACAACTTCTCCGCGCAGGAGAGCGAGCATACAATGACCCTCCACCTCCACCAGGACTGGGTGATTGCTGTGGGAGTTCGTGTGATCCTTGTGTAAGGGATTTGTGGAAGCAAGAGATTGGAATTTGGAGGGAGAGATGGGGGGATTGGGGTATTGAAGAAGGGGAAGGCGTTTTGAAGAAGAGTGAAAAGAAAGAAGAGAAATTGGGGAAGAAGAAAGAGTTGGAATGGTGATGAGTATAAAATAGGTAGAAAATAAGTGTATACAATTACTAGATCGAGTTCTTGTTATTTAGAAGTAAATATTGATATACCTACATGTATGTATCTACATCAAATACATCACCCCCATAACCACCAAACTAAACCAACCCCAAGCACCCAGCTTCACCCCAAGATTCAGATGATACGCAGCTCCAAGAAAAGAGCAAGTAACATCACCATCCCGAGAGCCGTAGGAAGAATTCATCATCAAGCCCTCAGGACACCCGAAGCCAAGTGCAGACGGACAACTCTTAACAAGGGTATGACAGATATCCCGACAAGGCAGGATCTCATTATAGGGACCAGGTTTGATCTTCTCATCGATGATAGGATTGCGGGATGAATTCATCGCCACGGATTTGCGGTAGGGACTGTCATCCGGCAAGGAAGAGCCATTGATGAAAGCCTGGCCTGCGTTACGGACGTGCGTGAAATTCTTGGGGTGACTGTAGTCCGCGCAGCGGGGGATTGTGACGACGCAAAGCCATTCTTTGTAGGCTCTTGCGCAGTCGTCGCAGTCGACGGCGAGGGAGAACATTGATTCTTGGGTTGCGTTGCATTGGATTTGTTGCAGGGAATAACTGAAGTTCTGGTAGTAGGCGGCGGCGTGGTCGTCGTAGATTGTGCGGAGCTCGTCGACGCTTAAGTCAGGGTTTGAGGGGACTGCGTATGCGACTTCTGAGCAGAAGGTTAGGTTGAATAGTACGGCGCAGTTGTTATCTAGAAGATCGTTAGATGGGATTACTTTTTTTATATGGGTTGTTTGGGGTTGCTCACCTGTTTTGGTCGTAAAGCTCATCGGTTTCCATACCTTGCCGCCGCCGCCGATGATGCCATTCCCGGACGCGGTCGAATTGCCAATCATGGCCAGAAGACCACTGTACGAGGAACTCTGGTTCAGTCCAGTAATATAGAACTGTTCTTTGGGCTTATTTCCAAGTCCGCGACTGGTCATGCCAACCTCGGTTGAGTTACTGATTCGACCCATCTGCGAAAGCTCATCGAGGGCGCAGAACGATTTCTCCAAACCCTGAAGTGCTGTATCGTTGATGTTATGGGCAAACATGGTAAATGGTGGGACGAGGTTCATCCATTGCTTGTAATTTGTGGTGTTACTCTCGGAATGGGTTAGGTTGTTCGTTACCAGCAGCGCGGCTGACACGTCTGCGTCGATGAATAACAGATTTGGATCATCTTCCACGATATTGTGGAAAAAGTCATCGATGGATGCTGCGATCTGGTACTTGTAACTTCCCATGTAGTCGGTTGAATTCGGCGCAGCGACGCCGATGAAGACGTCGGTGTCCGTGTCAATGGTGATTCCCAAATACCCGCCAACGGCAGTGTGTATCTCCTGCTTCGAGTCGTCTTTGCCCGGTCCGGGCTGTTCCAGTTTCTGAGAATTCGACACATACATTTGCAACTGTGGAAATTCGTTTTCTGGGCTGGTTTTGTTGGCAAGGGGTTTTTGGCAGGTCGTGAGCGATAAGTACACTGTCGTCATCGCTCGCTTCGAGAAGTCCTCGTCTCGTTTCCGTAGCTCACGGGTCGAGTGATGGCTATCTTTAGCCGTACCATTCATATATGCAGGAAGACCCGTGCCTTCGGGGTCGTGCTTGCCGTTCACCACATCACTGGGCAGGTAGAACCATTGGACATCGCCGATGTTGAGCTCGCCCTGCGCGAACTGGTTGTTGCCTAATGCTTTCGCGGCATTAGGGTATCTGCGCACGAGCTCCAGCCCATTCGACTCGCCATCTTCGTCGACACTGTCACGAAGTTCCAGCCCATTGAACGAGTCCAGCGCAAGTGGGAGTCCCGCCCCATCGCTGGGAACCGCCCCTCGGAGGGTCAGGGTGTTCTCTGTATCCAGGCCATGGGGGGTGTCGGCATAGGCGAAGTCGCAGGTAAGTGCGAAAAGAAGGAAGATCGCGCTAATCGTTGCAGTAAGATAGCACTGCAGCGCGTTGTATTGACGTCGCATGGAAGGACGGAGGGGAGGGTGTCGCTGCACAGCCTATGGGCAGAGTTGAAGTTGGCGCGTAAAGATATCACGGGCAAGCGGTGGTATACACCAGCTGTAAACCTCTTCCTGGAGGCCAAATCAACGGCTGCATGTAGTCGACGTGAGAGTTGTTTAGATGAGACCGGCTATCGTGGAAATGCCAGTCTTATCAATTTGGCTGCCTTGCTGCCTTATTTAGAACACGTAGGACCGCGCGTAAGACACCATATTTTATCTACCGCGGCTTTCCTATCTTAGTTGCTACCGCTTTTCTGAGGTCGCTCAGTGCCAGGCTCTCTGAGTAAACTATGTTGAGGTTGAGGATATTCTAATCAGGATGCTAATCTCCTGCATGGACAGCCCTGCACTCGAGAACGCAGATGAAGGGAAAACTGGTCAGACGGCCTAGACCACTGGGGCAGCTCTAACTATGGCGTGTATGTAAGGTGCTCATATGCACTGCCTCAGTACGCCGATCATGGCTGTACACGACCTCAGCCTTAGCCTCACTTTCCCTAAGGTCGAGGATTTACGCGGGGCATACCCCGGAAACATCTCTGGGCCTTCAATTCGGCCTGCTCAACTTGCCTTCAAACGCATATAGCCGATATACCCCTGTGTCAACTAAAATTCATGCTCCGAACTAAACAGCCACCGAAACCAGCCGCTCAAGATGGGTCCTCTGGCTTGTGGGTTTCTACACTACGCTGGTTATCTTCTCCTAGATCATGATCTAACTACCTACCCAACTACCGCCCGGTTACCATTTCAAGCTCCCAAAATATCCAAACTACAGCCCTATATTGTATGGGTCAACCAGGAGTCAGACCATGCGAGCCAAGTACTAACACAACGAGTAGTGGTATAAAGCCATTCAGGTCATCCAGTCCATGTTTGGAGTGTTAACCATTCCAGTGGCATCTGCTGTGTATTCAGGTGCAAAGCCACATTTTAAATGCTAGAGATGAGCATTCTGAGCATGTCATTTGGAGGAATATGAAAATTATATTCTATCGAATAAATATTGTATTTATAACCAACAAAAAAAGGGATAAAGTAGACGATCATAGTCAAACAACACGCAAAATGTAGAATAAAAGAAAAAAAAGTCAAGGATTGATGGCAGGTCAACATAGCCAACAATTAAAAAAAAGTTCAAACCAGCCTCTGCCAGCGGGCAAGGCCAATGCTCACAATGACAATACCTGCCATGACTCCAAGAATGCCGAACCACCAGGTCAATCCCTGCGTGTGGGCGCCGGGAACTTCTACGTTCATACCGAACAGACCACAGATCAGGTTCATGGGGACCAGAATAGTAGCAATCAGAGTGACCTTGCTAAGAACCTTATTGACGTGGTTTCCCAACACCAAATTGGTGACATTCAGTTGAGCCAAGTAATTGGTATGAGACCGGCTGAGCATCTTTTCAAAATGCGCCAAGTTCGACATCATGGTCACAACGTGATCCTGAATATCGCCGAGGTAAAGACCAATATCACCACGGGGAGTAACCGAGTACTGCTCGTTACAGCGCTTGGAGAATCCACGAATGACGTCGGCTTTGCCTCCTAGAAGGCGCATCAAACTCATGACCTTCTTACGTAGGCCTCCAATGCGAGGGAGGAACGATTCGAAATCGTCAACCCGGGCGATGAACACATGGTCTTCGATCGCTTCGGACTCCAATTCCACATCACGAATGACGGGGCCGAAGCTATCCACGATATCGTCGATCATGGCGTAACAAATCCAATCACTACTGAGAGACACATAGTCTCTCAGCTTTCCAATACGTTTCCGAACATTGGATGCGTGAGGGTTGTCCTCAAAGGAGAAAGTGAGGACACCGTCTCGGAAGACAACCATGTAGAAATTGACAGGCTCAAGGAATTCCTCGCTGGTTTTGTCCATTTGGAAGAAGGTGCGGAAACAGACAAAGTAGTACTGCTTGAACAGTTCAACCTTCTCGCGGGCTTCCTGAGTTTGAATATCCTCCGTTGTCAGCGGGTGAATAGAGAAAGCCCGGGATATAGCTCCCAATTCCTCGTCAGTGGGGTTGACCACATCCAACCACCACACACCTCCCTCGGGTCCAAGCTCGAAAAGATCTCGGAAGGTCTCGCCAGGGAGCACCAGATCTCCCAAATCGGCAGCATGCACTGTGCTTTGAGCCTCGGACGAAAAGAAGCCAAAACGAGAGCGCTGGCTTGTACTCTGGGATGCTTTAAGCTGCTCCTTTTCGTTTGTAACCTCGGCCTTCTTCTTTTCATCTTCACTCAGTGTATCAGACGAGCTAGTCCTGTTAAGTGCACCCAACTCAGGGCTTTCAGCGCCGGGGCGGAGGTCATAAAAAATGCGGGGCCTCTTGCCCTGCGAGCTCATGCTGTGCTTGCGGCGAATGCCATCGCCGACCTTGGTGCTCGGATTCAGAGCCACAAACTCCTCGAGTTCCTCGTAATCGATGACGGGAATACGGCCTGGCTCATCGAAGCAGGCCTCCTCTGTCGTGTCGAATGGCACATCCCCCAACTGAGGGCGGATGACACTGGCGTTGCTGAAAGTTGGGCGTCGGTTGTGGGTACCACCTGAAACGGTGCGTTGCAAAATAGCTTCCAGGTCGGGAGGTGCATGGCTGTCCAGGGTATTGGCGCGTTCACGGCGACGAGGGTCGGCAAAAGCTTCGACTGAATTGGGAGGAGAGGATGATCGAGCGGACACGGACGAGGCGCCGTCATTGTTGACGAGATCCGGGTTCACAATGCTGATGCGACGAGGGGTTTGGTAGGTGCCGTTAGGGTCGACTGAGAACCGCCGAGCGAGTCCATTCAACTCATTCAGCGAACGATCGTCGTCCGCGGAATTTTCGAAGTCTCGGGGAATTGGACCGTCTCTTCTGGCATCTTGCGCACTGAGAAGGTCTGGACGATCGAGCATCTCAGGACCTTGAGTGGTGTCGCGCGGACTGTAAGCACGCTCGACTGGGCCTTCAATGCGTGGAGGCGTCTGCATCTGGAGGCGGTGATCATCCAGTTCGGGTACCGGGGTACTGTACCTAGTCAGGTACATGTACCTCTCGGATCTGGGAGACTCAGACATGGTGAGCTCTCAGTATATGAGAATTTGACGAAAGCGATTAGGGCGCCAGATTGGCGGATATTTGCGTGTTTTGGTTTTGGTTATAGTTGCTCTTTGATAGCACGACGGCCGGAGCAGACGCAAGCCGGTAAGAGGTTCGTTCAAGGGTGACGGCCCTCCATCCATAAGCCAGACCCTTCACGAGGGCCTGGCGTTACCGACTAACGTCTGACGGCCACAATAAAGATGTTGCTGAAACCCAGTTAGGGGGGTCTGGTGTCGCCCCCGCCAAAGACCCGGAACTTAGGGCCTGCAAGAGGGTGGAGGAGAGAGGCCTCGGTGTAGCGAAGTCCCGCCAACTTGAAGAAGTGGTCGGATGAGGAGCTTGGTGGCTCCAGGGTTGCTGTTAGAAGGCGCGAAGGGTTCGCGAAAAATTGACGTTAATGAATTCTCTCGACTCTGTTGACAAGAGATCAGAAATTGAAAATTCTAGTTGAATTGTAAAGTTGGAGTGGGAAGAAAAAGTGGGAAAGGCGGGAAAGGTATAAAATGAAGTGGCAAAGACCTAACGGGTCGATGATGGTTCCGGCCCAGAAGGTCGGATATTAAAAAAGACTATAAAAACCACAAGCAACCTTTAAGGGGCATATAGGAGAGAAGAAGGGGGCTAGAGCTATATTAATATGTAGAAAGAAGACAAAGCTTAGTGAAAAATTTTCCAAGCGGGCCCCGTTTCAGCAGATAAAGGAAAGGGTCTATGGGGGGAAGAGTATGAGACTATAAAATGACCTATTATTGACTAGGGATTACCCCCTCTGGCGCTTGAGGCATTTTATATCAGCCTTGGAAATGTCGATGCTTTATCTATACTATTCCTCCGTATACACATAATCCCGAGGTCAAAGATGTCATATGGGATCTTTTGTTACCCTTGGCATTTTTCGTATTTCCAGGTTATCTGAATAATATGACTCTAGAACACTTTTTTTTGTCTCGGCAAAATTATCCCCTTTTTCTCATGTTTCGCTTTTTCTTATGTGGAACAATCCATGTTAAAAATGTAAGTACAGAGTACGGAGTACTTATAAAGTAAAGAAACAATGCAATATATGCAAGATCTGATATCCATAAACACAAATTAAATACAAAAAAGAAATCCCAATGTGTTAAAAAATGCTCCACTTGCGTATCCGACGTCGGCCAAATTTTTTGGTGTGCCAAGAGTTTCAGAGTCACATACCGGACTATCAAGACTATCTTGTACATTTGTACTGTACACACTCGGGAATATAGTCGTCAGCCATGACTTCCTTTGTGATCAAGATCCCTTGCTCCTCTGCCAACATTGGCCCTGGATTCGATGTCATCGGCCTGGCATTGTCCCTCCACCTGGATCTCCACGTCACCGTTGAGACCAAACCCTCATCCCAGCTCCCCTTCAACTGCGCCATCACCTATGAAGATCAGAGCAAGAGTGTTGAGCAGATCAGTCTCGACCCAGAAGTCAATCTGATCACCCGTGTAGCCCTGTATGTCCTCAGATGTCATAACCAGCGGGCCTTCCCCGTCGAGACCAAGGTGCATATCGTCAATCCCATCCCATTAGGCCGGGGTCTGGGCTCCTCTGGTACCGCTGTCGTTGCCGGTGTCATGCTGGGCAATGAGGTGGGTAAGCTGGGTTTGAGCAAGGAACGGTTACTCGATTATTGTTTGATGATTGGTAGGTCGGAGTGTTTTATGTGCCCCTCATCTGAGTCTCCAGAGAAAAGAAAATATGATTCGTATCTCGTACATCTAACTAACACGTGCAAATAGAGCGGCACCCGGATAACGTGGCTGCTTCCCTCTTCGGTGGGTTCGTGGGTACCTATCTGAATGAGCTTAAGCCCGAGGACGTGGCACGCAAAGAGATCCCTCTCAGTGAAGTCCTGCCTGCTCCGGCAGGTGGTGTGGACACCGGAATCAGACCCCCCGAGCCACCAATGGCCATTGGTCATTACAGAAAGTTCAATTGGGCTCCCGAGATCAAGGCCATTGCCATTATCCCTAATTTTGTGGTGCCTACTGCCAACGCTCGTAATGTACTCCCGGAGACCTACTCAAGAGCAGACGTGGTATGTGAATATTCACAGTTTACAACTATAAAATTCCAGACTAATCTCCCGGCTAGGTCTTCAATCTCCAGCGCGCGGCACTCCTCCCCGCGGCATTGGGAAGTTCCCCACCGGATCCTGATATGATCTTCCTCGCCATGCAGGATAAGGTGCACCAGCCGTATCGCAAGACGCTCATTCCAGGCTTGACTGAGATTCTCCAATTCATGACCCCTGCCACTCAACCCGGTCTGCTAGGAATCTGTCTCTCCGGTGCAGGACCTACCATCCTGGCACTGGCCACGGATCGCTTCACCGAGATTGCTGACCGCATTATCGCACAGTTCGCTTCCAATGATATCTCGTGCCAATGGAAGCTGCTGGAGCCCGCCCAGGATGGCGCAACTGTCACCTATATCTAAAGCCGGGGGCTTTTGTGTCGTCATAACACTATTGCCAGCGGGTCAGCAGTTCGCCGTGCTTGACATATAAGCACGTGTCGGCAGCATTGGAGCATTGGGACCCGAGGGGAACCTGTATCTGGCTGGATATGGGAAGGAAGATTTCTTCTCTAACCGCCACATGGGTCATGCAAGATCTCGTTTTCACCGCTCCTTGCTTTCTCGCATTGCAGGGTGCATGTGAACCTTCCGACACGGCAACTAGGGTCCGGGTTACGTTTGGATTTACAGGGTCTTGTACACTGGTACACGATCGCAGGCCGAGTTTCTCGGGGCCAGTTTCCCAGCAGTCCTCCAGCTCGGGTGATCTGTTTTTTTTTTTGGGGGGGGGGGGGGGGTCTAGAGATAGATGGCAGATGACATGGAATGAAATCATGATCAACCACGTAATGATTAAACTTCAAGGGACAACCCAGTCGAGGACATTCGGAATGAATCAAAGTTATGGACGAATGCCGTGTACAATGTAGAGAGCAAGGCGGTCCGATGTGGCAGAAGACAAATGACACCATTGCGATAAGCCGCCCGTCATCGATCAAGGGACGCTCGAACCCGGCGTGTTGACCTCGAATCTGATTAAATTGATTTAATCATGGATGAATTACTTGCACCTATTCAGGATGCCGTTGAAGGCACAATCGTACGCCCCGCCGCACCGTCCCCATTCATGAACATTGCTCCGCGTCTGGACGATCCAAGCTAACAAGATCTCGATAACAGGACTTCCACGGCCAACGTCTAGCAGAGCTACTATCGACCGTCTTGCTGGTTATCTCAGGGGTATGTTGCACGAATATTGAGTCTTGTATTACCGAAACTAACGATTGTTGTATCCGCTCTAGATCGCCAGCTTCCTCATCGGATACATCTACAAGGACATCCACCTTACGCTATGGACTGGTTTAGCAGGCACACTGTTCACAGCTTTCGTCGTTGTCCCGCCCTGGCCGATATACAACCGCAATCCGGAGAAGTGGGTGGGTTCACCAAGCGCGAGAGCAACTCCGGGTATAACTGTGGACGGGGTGAAGGTGCAATAAGCTATTGAGAAATCGTCAAGCGTAATAATCATGGGAAGCATTTGGGCAGCGCTTTCTTGTCTGCTACGGAATATGAGAATGGGAAGTTATGGAGCTAGCTCGAGATATCAATCGTTCGAACGCCCGCCAATCCCTAGGCCGTGGTAAAGATCCAGAAGCGTCTTGGAAGAAAAAAAAGTTCAAGTTATAGCCATTGAGCATGCGGCATCAGCCAGAAATCGTGAATTTGTATCGTGTAGTGTCTTTGAAACCTCCGGTGCCTCCCCTTTTTACCGGCCGTACTTCTGGAACTCCCAGTCTCGGTTATCTAGCGGGCAGACCTGGCGGGTCTTCAGCCATCTCGATATACAGTGGAAGTGGAATGCGTGCTATAGAAATCGAGTAATTAGCCTATGATCGAATGGTCGGATGGGGGTGGATGCGGGGGTCCTCACGTTACAGATACCCCAGGCAACAGTGCACTCTTCCGTTGTTGATGATCCTTGGTTGGCCTGGCATTCGATGCCTGTTTCGTTAATAGGTCAGCTTGTAAACTTAAAATCAAGAGAGCTGTGAAGGGTAGTTTCAGCGTACACAAGTCCATGATGTGGTTTCGGCAAATGGCACAGTTATCGACGACGATATCCCAAGCCCACAAGGCAACAGCATTCCACTTAACAATAACCAGTCAGTACCATGAGTCGCTGCGAACAGTAGGGCCTTGTGTACCTTCTTGACCTCGAACTTCTTCTTGTCGGTATTATCGGAGCCCTTGGCCACGGCCTTGCCCTTGGAGGAGCCAGTAGCGGCTTCCTTCATCTCCACGTCTGTCATATTGAGGTTCTAGTCGGAAGTTGAATGGTTTTAGGTTGAAATGCTTGGCGCGAGACAACAGAAGCTAGCTGGAGTGGGGGGTATCAGAACTGTGACTGACGTAAGTGAGGCTCCGATGTCTAGGTTAGGGCGGTGATTGAGAGCGGTGATTGTAGTGTAAAGAGAGTCGAGATCGAACGGATGATATCTTCTTGGATTTAAAATAAGAGATATCTCCAAAGGTACTCAATGCACAACGCGACAATACCCTGTCCAGCAGTTAATAGTTCTGTTTGACCTGGTTTGTTCTATCGTGAAGCAGGTGGCGTCTTAGTCATCGAGATGTGATCTCCCCTCCCCGTTTGTCTGCATTCGATGGTCTTTCCCTTTAGCCAACAACAATGATTCAGTCTTCTTTTCCTTCTCTTCTTTTTTCCTCTTTAGAGATGTCTCCAGTTGATTTTCGTTTTTGACTTCTGTCACGCTCTCTGTTTCATAGACAAGATCTTTCATTAGACTGTCTATCTTTGCCTTTGAAGCACCCGCTTGACTCAACTTGCGACTCTTTCACTTCCTCAGTTTGATACACGTCACGTTCTCTGCTTCTCCGGCGTTGCCATATCTAATATTGTCGACACCTGCTGAGCAGTGATCTGACTCATTTTGCTGCAATCTCCGCATCTTCTGCCGTTTACTGCTTCGTCATAGCGTTGCCTTTTCTCTTTACCTATCTCTCTCCAGGCTGCCTATTTATTAAGCCAACCGTCGACATGTCGACCCAATCTCCTCATCCTCCGACCCCCAAGGGTTCGCGCAACAACCGTCGCCCTCAGAAGAAGAATATGACCCCTCACGCCCCGAAACCGGCGCTCCTCTCTACTCCTCCATCATCCCCGCCGCATAACATGACCCCCGGGATCATCCAGGTGGATTCCTTAACCAACTTCAACTCTTCCAAGAAGAAGCCTCTGCGCTCAGCCAAGAAGCCGCGAGACAACAAAGCTTCACCTGCCCCGCACTCTGGATACCACAGCAACGGGTACAACAGCGGTCCCCGATACACACCAACCCACCCCGCTGTCACCTCTCCTCAGACAAAGCCGAGCGCGGCCTATGCCGGACCCACGTTCCACGCATCGCCTGCACCCTCAGCTCTACCCATCCCTAGTTTTTTCTCCAAGTCCGCTCCTGATGCCAATCTGGTCCCACCCATCGAGACCGATAGTGATGATGCGGTGGACCCTGAACCAGAGGTGACTCCATCCAAACCTCGCAACCGCAACAACCAATCCAAGGCTGAAGAGCCCAAGCCTTCTCCTCTCGACTTCCTCTTCAAGGCTGCTGTGCAAGCCAGAGACCAGAAGTCCACAAGCAGCCCTGAGGTGCACAAGGTCCTTCAGTCTCCCCAGACCGAACCCAGGGCCTCGCGCCCCAATCCTGATGGCATGTTTGCATTTGAAATGGGAAACTCCGACTACTCTCGCAACTCGCACATTGGTCCTTCTTTCGCGCCTTCTTATCAAGATCGTATGAATGCGCTGCGGCCCTCCAGTACCCCTCAGTCCTCCGACATGACTGAGGAAGAGCGACGAATCAAAACCGAGGAGTTGAAGCACCTGTTGCTCAACCCACCCCCACAGAAGCCGCCTTCCTCGGCTTATGCCTCGCATGAATACGCTGGATCCTTTGGGCCCCGTCCTTCCAATGTGCCTCCCTACGCCACACCTATGCGAACCTCGTCTGGTCCTCAGTTGACCATGTCTCATGCTTCATTTTCTCCCCATCAGCTGCAACAGCAGCATGTTCCTCAGAACACCGGACCTCCTCGCTACCCATACCCCGCCCACTCTCACTCACCCCTGCGCCGTGAAGTTGAGATGGTCCCGCCCCCTTCAATGCCTCAGTATCGTGGTCCCCCCTCGAATGGAGCATCGAACCGAGCTTCACCGGCGCCATATGGAAATCCGTACATGGCAACCTCCCAGTATCAGCGGAATGGATATGCTTCACCCCAACCAAGCCATGCGTCGGCTTCATTCCAAATGCCCTTGACTTCGCCATCTCCTTCCCGGGTGGTGGACACCCGCCAAATTGAGAATGATATTCGTCGGGTTCTTAAGCTTGATACGCCCGGGCCTCAGGTCACTCAGAGCTCTGCGTAGCTCTATACTCACCTTGTCAGATTATGATCTTTTTTCTATGATCACGTCTCTCCGCTCTTTTGATTGAATGGCCTCTTTCTTTTGTTTCTTTTTCTTACTTTTATCTTGCTTCTTTATTGAATTTAGTTTTGATTTTACTTTGCTTTTTCTTGCATTTTGTTCATACGGGCATCCTCGACTGGTCTGAGGTCCCTCGGTTGGTTCATTCTAGTCTTCCTTTCCCGCTATAGGGTGCTCATTGTTTCTTTCCATACGTCTCTTGCGGCAATGTTCACCATGATGATAATGCACGGCACTGGTTGCTTGGTACATTGATGAGGTGGTAATTTTATCGTCACCTTTTCTCCATCGTTCGGCGTCGTGGTTTTTCCCAAATGTGGTGGCGCGCCTGGTTTTGGCTTGGGGCATGGAGAAATGCGAACAAATGCATGATTTTCCTGTTTTCTTTTGGCATTGTTTCTTGATATTTGGGTCCTTCCCTTTGAGTTTTCCTATTCCTTTTGTTTGGTCGAAGTAGCGGTCAGCTCGGTCAACCTTCCAAGACTGACCGGGGGCTGACATGGCACTTCGTACCTTGGTGTATCCTCCTCGCTCGTTTCATGAGGATTGAATTTGTCTAGGTATCTGACTTGTCCACATCGGTGTGCTTGTTCCTGTCGCTCGGTTTACAATAATCACATGTCAGATTTGGTTCCAATTATAGAGTGCAAGTAGTAGTCGTATATAGTAGCCTAGTAGATATGGCGCCAAGCTATGGGATATCTCAGCACCGGTGGGTTGTGCGTGCATAGTACAGTCTCCTGACTATCTAGGATTATAAGACCCTTCCTTCAGCAGGACCTAAGGGGATACTTATGAATGAACGTGAAATCAGGAAGTGGAGACCACGAGTGTACTATAATTGTAAAAGGAACCAATGGCTACATACTTCCCTAAAGAAGCCGGATAATATCAAGAGACAAATAATGAAACCAACTCGATGTGTGGTGGTCCGGTCTTCGGGGTTTTTTTTGCCTGGATGTTTCTTCTTACGATAGATAGGCACAAAAATCTTCTTCTACCACTACTCTTGGCAACCTTCAAGGCTCAGAGACAATGTAATAGAATACTACTTGAAACTGCCTGGGAATCATTGTCTGTATGTAAATGCTATCACTAAGCTCGGCAGCCTTGTGTCCCTTTCGTAAGTACCACATGACTCTCAATTGAGTATGTACGCCAAAGAACAGTAGTACAGCCACATCGTCTTAGCGTTAGGGTAGGTGGAAGATAGCAGAGACACTCAATCAATATAGTTCGTGACTTGTACCTTCTGATTTATCTTCTGTATTGTGACTTTAAACATCCAGCACACAATCTCAATGGGCTGTTCTGGCCTACGAACCACCTCCATACGAGCACTAGGAGCGGACCGACAAAGGGCTAGGTTATTTATCACATCACCTATACCCCCCATTCCAATGACGCATTCCTCCAAATTGTTGATCTTCTCAACTCCTACATGAAACATGGATTATACTCTGCCCTAGTTATAGCTTCATAGGGACAAAAAACAAAGGCTTGGTATGATATTATAGATTGGGCCTAGCCGTTGCGAGAATATGAGAAAAAAAACTCTATAGTAGATGGTATATGTTTTTAATTGGGTGACTTTTCTACAGTGTAGTTATGCTACCGTCACTACGGAATATGTACTACTGGGTAAGACTTCATCTCGTAGCGCTATTAATAGCCCAATACTTCATTTTAACGATACTATACCAAAAGCCACTAGTAGTACTATGCTAATAGTATGTGAGAAGCAAGTGGATATGAAATCACACCGTTTTTCTGCTAGTATACATACGCATAAGCCTCGCTGACTTTAGTATAGCGCGGTGATTACATTTAAGCCTCAGTCTTGGTCGATAACCGGACTTGCCAGCATTGGGCGGTTTGTCGCCTTGGCTGGTGAAGCCGGTTTGGTGGGTATGGGTATTTATTCTGTTGTTGATGATCATTCCTCTGCGCCATATTTCGTCTTTGGTTATATCAAAGTCAATAAGGCTGCTAAGGCGAGACGCGCGATGGGCAAGAAGGATTTGGTGAAGCTTGACGAAGACTTTAGGAGGAAATGGCCAACATTGATATGATTATGAGGGCCTGCAAGGCGTGAAATGACAAGCAAGGTATTGTGGTCACCAAGTCCCTACCTATAATCCTTCTTGAATGTTATCAGTCATGTGAATAGCTTGTAGTGTCTCTAATACTTTCACTATATTGCCATTATTACTCCTAGCTCATATTATATTTTTAGACCATCCAATTCCTCTATTGTTCCATTGTTAAGTAAAGAGGCCGTACAGGTGCCGGCTCTTATGATTATATACATAATACTTCGTACTCCGTACTCCGCACATAGTATTTTTTATAGATCAATGTCTATAAATATACAAAGACAAGCATTCACTAAGGGTGGATATAACAGTTCAAGTACTCCATTACGAATGGCATGATCTCACGTTCTTCATACTTCATGTTGATCCATGATATAGGAGGGATAGTGCCATCCATGTACAGGAACAGCTACGTGCCTGAATGCCAAGACCCTGATTTCATCAAGCGCCGAACAAGCCACACCGTTGAAACGAATCAGAATTAGCAGGTTTTCTAATTCCAGTGTGGAGTCTAGCCTATGAGAGCCTGCTGATCTTAATATCCCCAGGGTCTTTTTTCCGTTTAGGTTTACAATATAAGTTTTCCAGTAATAAGGATCTACATGGAATAGTTTGGTTTGCAGCTCAAGTCAAATGGCCTGTATTATACGGAGTCCGTATATTAATTTCTATTTTGGAACGTGGACTTTGCCCCTATTGTTAACCGTAACTCCTATTCGCCCGCCACAGGCGTTTCCCCGAGATCCACTCAGCTTCGGCCTAATTTTATATCGCGCCCTCGGCCGTTTGGGGAAGATGGAACGCCACTCCTATTCTGAGTTCCGGTATATATTTATTTTGCTTTACTTTACACACATATCAGACAGGAGTTAGGGCCTTCTATTTCATATATCTGCCTCCTAAGCTTAATTTAGACTACTTTCGCCGTAAGGGTGACATTGGCATTCAGATACGTCCCACGTGTAGCATCTAGCCTGGAAGACATGATGTATTGACTGGATGCAGTACATAATGAAATACACATACTTGGCAAGATATTCTATTCGCATTCAAAAGCTTATGATGAGTTGTCGACATCATATCAGAGGATCTACATACCACACGTCGAGACGCTGAATGCGGCCAGGGGGGTAAATAGAGTCATATCATAACAATTGAAGCAGAGAACATGCGTTTTTAGATAAAAGAAGTTTGAATTATATTATTTTCAAGCCTTCCAAGTCTTGTGTTTCTAAAGAAAAATAAAAATAAAGCCATCTATTTCACCCCCCTCCACCTTTTCTCCTTCCTTACCTAATTCTGGATTCTGGGACTTTCAAGGTTGCCCCTACCACAACTTCACATCTTTACATCTTCAACTACTTTCTTCATTCTCCCCCTGGATTTTGAATTCTCTCGATTTGATTATCCCCCGCGACGGGACACGTTTTTCCCTCTCCAATGACCGATTTCGCGATCTGTTAACCCCCTGCGCCCGTTTTTTTTCCCCTACTGTGAACACCATGGCGAATATGTTAGTCTACCTCTGGATGTCTAGATAAGATCCATGTCCGCTGACGTGATGCAGGTTGAGTTCGACATGGCGTTCCTTTTGGCATACCATGACCTCCTATGACCGTCATGCCTCCCACGACTCCCCCTACCGTACTGGGAGACACGTCCCTCTCAGCCAAAGTCGCCACGAGCCACTCACATCTATCGCAACCAGCGCAATCGAATCTCGCCCAGACCTCTCCAACCCCTACGATGACGAGCCTACGAAAGGATCTGCAAGTGCACAAGCATCCGAGTGGAACGGCTCCCCCGACGACTTGGGCTCTCCGACCCATCCCTACTCACCAGGGATGAGGTCAGCCGCATCTCAAAAGAGACGATCGAATGACCAAGCCGAGGGCGCACCCGAGATTCAAATGCAGAGTTTCCACGATGGAGCGCCACCGCCGCCGCCGGTCGCTCACTCCTGGAGGAAGATTGAACGCTGGTTAGAAAGCAATTATGAGGAACTCCTTGACCAGCTCGGTGAAGGATGTACCCAGAACGATATTAACGAATTGGAGCATGAACTCGACTGCAGTCTACCATTAGAGGTGCGGGAATCGTTGATGTGCCATGATGGCCAAGAACGCGGCGGCCGACCCACCGGTGTTGTCTTCAGCGCCATGCTGCTCGACTGCGAGGAGATCGTTCAGGAATGGACGAACTGGAAAAAGGTCAACGACGAATATCTCAGCAACGCAACTATGATGCAAAACCCACCCGCATCCAGCTCTGCGGCAAGCTCCTCAGCGGCTGGTCCGTCTCAGCAGGCCTCCTCCACAATGTGGCAATCCGAGCTGCTCGATCGTCAGGACTCCCAGCCTCCCGGTGCAGTTCAGAAATCGTACGCAAACCCCGCTTGGATTCCCCTCGTCCGTGACTGGGGCGGCAACCACCTTGCCATTGATCTGGCACCCGGCCCCGCTGGAAAATGGGGCCAGGTGATTATTTTCGGCCGGGATTACGACTGCAAATACGTCGTTGCCCGATCATGGGCTGCGTTCCTCGCTACTCTCGCCGACGATTTGTGCAGCGGCCACGTCATTGTGGACGAGGAGACGGATGAGCTAAAGCTAAAGCAATTCAAGACCCAAAATGTGGAGCCCCCATACCTGGATATTCTGCGCTGGAGGACGGATCAGAAGTATGGCCGCCGTGTACCTCGCAGGAAGGGCCCCGCACCCAATGGTCTTGGTGTGAACGCTTCAGGCAACCGGTCCAGCAGCCGCGAGTCCCCCTACGGTAGCCCCACGCGCACCGAAGAACGAGGCCGTTCACCACACCGTTTTTCCAAGGGCGGAAATGCCCAGAGTCCTAAGACGCCATTTGGCGTGTCTAGTCCTCTTGCACGCGTAACTGAGGAGACAACAAGTCCCATTGTCACTGCAGGACCCACAATCTCCGAAGACACCAAGGAAAATGGCAAGGAGCCTCAGACTGAAGATCTCATGGAGGTGGTAACCCCACAAATCTCCAACAAGGAGAATGAAGGGTTCCCCAAGCCCAATGAACTTAAGGAATCCGACAAGGCTGACAAGGCTGAGAAGGCTGAGAAAACCGACTCCGCGGAGTCCTCAACTGCCATTGAGTCGGAGGTCCTCGGCGAAATGAAGAACGTGGCTATTTAGAATAAGCCTTGCTTTTTGAGTCCGGGCAGTCCCGTTTCTCTCGAGTCTCGGGGTTTCAAGGGCATCCGGCGTCAATGTGGAACTTATGGATGTGCGACAATGTTCTGCTTTTGCTTTTGCTTCTACTTCTGCTTGTATAGAATTCCCCCTGTTCTTCTTCTAGCCTCAGTTTCACGGCATTTGTTGTAACTCTAGGGTGCTGTTTTGCTGTGCCTCTGCGTTTTCCCCTTTCGTTTTGGTTTTCCTTTGCCGTCGAGATGGCTCTGTGTTCACGGTCTCTGATATTTTTTTGCCTGTAATTCTATGATGACAGTCTTGCCTTTTTTCTTTCGTGTCTGGCTACAATCCCATTTACTTTGATTCTTCGGTTTTCAACTTCAAGTTACCCCAGAATTCCCGGAGCATATGAATAGTCTACTTCAGAGCTTGTATAAGCCTCGGAATATATGGATATATGGCATGGGTATGCTACTAAACATCCAACTATGAACATCACTATAGGTCATCAATCCGTTAATGTACAGAAATCATGAATCAACATCCCAATACCCTGGGTATAACCTTTAAGAAACAGGACTATTACTCCCAATCATCATCGTCATCGTCACCACGGTTTCTCACATTGGCATTAGAATCCCGAATCCCACGTCTCCCCTTCTTCCTCCCAAATCCTCTCCCACCAGCACCATCATCACTATCCTCCTCCTCTCTCACATCATCATCTTCATCCCCAGCTCCAATCTTCACCGCCAAAAGGATCCCTTTGAAAACCAACCTCTTCTCCAAAACCTTCACATCAAACCCCTCAACCCCATCAAATCCCCTAGCATCAAGCCCCTCAAACCCAACAACTCGATCAAGCCCAACCCCATCCTTAAACCCAATAACACAAGGCAAGACCTTAATCCCAAGTTTCTGCGCAATAAAAGGCGTGTTACGCACATCCACCCGCGCAAATGAAACCTCGTAGTGCACATTCGCCAATTCTCCAAGCCTCATATCCATGACCGCGCACCGCGCAAAATCAGGGTGTGCAAAGTGCACTAGACATCTGCTCGTCCGCGTCGTGAAATCCAGCACGGACTGGTCGGACGAGAGTGTCGGGTAAACTTCGTTTTGGATGAGGCCTGTGGTGCCGCTTGTTGCGCGTGCGGAGTGGTTGTTTTTTGTGGCTGCCAGCTCGGCATTAAGTTGATGGATGCGTTGGTCGCGGTAGAGGGTGTCATCTTCGTTTTCGAGGGCGGCGAAGAGGGCATCGTCGTCTGAGTCGGGCATTTTGGGGATGTGCGGGGGGTGGATTTGATGGTTTGTTGTTTTGGAGTTTTGATTTTTTTTTTTTGGTGGGTTTAGGATAATTGGTCTAGTTGGTTTTGCTTTTGAGTCCAATGTCCCAATGTCAAGGCGTGGATTGGGATTTTCGGGGGAGTGTGTGGTTAGGAGGGTTGACGTTGAAAGATCGGGAGCTCCACTGGTATATGCGCTCGGTACGGGGTAGTCTATGCGTGAACAGTTTTATAGATTTGTTATTGAGGTTTTCACAGTCTGCAATTGGAATGAGATATGTATTTCTTTTATTTCTTGTTCCTTTAGTTAGTGGAACAATTTTGGCTTATTCTTTAGCCTTGTAGAACTGATGATCTACACGATGTCCATAGCCATACTATATAAGTACAAACGCATGGCTGCCAACTAGGTATATTGTATATCATCGATCAACCTCAATTGAGTCTTTTCAAGCCTTATCCAACATCAATTGACTAATGTATGTTGTACAATAGTTATGTTTCACTCTATAAATAAAATCCTGAGTCAGCACCCCTTAATCGCCTTGCTTAGGTAACAACGTGTCTGTTTCCGGCCGCGAAATCTGTTGTTGTCAAATCTCCTTTGACCTTTTTGCTCTGGTCAACTTCTTGAACTCCTTTTGTTCCTCGACTCCCCTGGACATATTCTGGGTGCTATTCTGTCATTTCAGTTCTCCCCCATTTCAGCAAATAGCCGACAACCCCCCCTCCCCCCTATCTGCGACTCACTCAACATGGCCGAAGACAAGAAATCCGACGACTACACCGTCGACATGAACAAGGTCGACTCAGGAAACAAGGAGTTCGAGGCTGCGCCGCCGCCGTCTCCCTTGCCCCGCGCCAGTCCGACCATGCCCAGCCACCCCGCGTTACCCGTTCTGGCATACTGTGGTTCTTCAATTATGATGACCGTGATGAACAAGTATGTTCTGTCGGGCTTGGACTTCAACCTGAACTTCCTCTTGCTATGTATTCAGGTATGTGGTGGATTTTTCAGTCTTGATCCGAGACGAATCGCTAATATCAATAGTCTTTGGTCTGCATTGCTGCAATTCAAACATGCAAGTCCATGGGTCTTATCACCTACCGTGATTTCAACTCCGATGAGGCCAAAAAGTGTACGGTCTCCGATTACTATAAGCTGAGAGATGTGGCCGCTGACAAGATTTCATATTAGGGTTCCCGATTACGCTACTCCTGATCGGCATGATCTACACTGGTTCCAAGGCCCTTCAGTTCCTCTCAATCCCCGTCTACACCATCTTCAAGAACTTGACCATTATCCTGATCGCCTATGGAGAGGTTCTCTGGTTCGGTGGCTCAGTCACCAACCTCACTCTGTTCTCCTTCGGTCTGATGGTTTTCAGTTCGCTCATTGCCGCCTGGGCTGATATCAAGCATGCTGTGGAGAGCACCGGTGACACCTCCAGCAAGGTCTCCACTCTGAACGCTGGATACGTCTGGATGTTGATCAACTGCCTGTGCACCTCGTCTTATGTCCTGGGCATGCGCAAGCGCATCAAGCTGACAAACTTCAAGGATTTCGACAGTATGTGGTTCTTCCAGCCTTGCTGAATGTTTGCTAACATGACCTTCTCTCCAGCCATGTTCTACAACAACCTCCTGTCGATCCCCGTTTTGATCGTTCTCACCCTTCTGGTCGAGGACTGGTCATCCGCCAACCTCGCCCGCAACTTCCCCGAGGCCAATCGTGACGGTATCTTCTTCGCCATGGTTCTGTCCGGTGCCTCCTCCGTCTTCATCTCGTACACCTCCGCATGGTGTGTCCGCACTACCTCCTCCACCACATACTCCATGGTTGGCGCTCTCAATAAGCTCCCCATCGCCGTCTCTGGTCTCATCTTCTTCGATGCGCCAGTCACCTTCCCCAGTGTTTCCGCCATCGGTGTCGGCTTCGTCAGCGGTATTGTCTACGCCGTGGCCAAGATCAAGCAAAACGCTAAGCCCAGAACTGGTGTGCTCCCCGCACCTGTCAGCGCCAGCAGCCAGAGCATGAGAGACTCGCTGCGCTCTTAGTTCTTGGAATGGCAATATGCGCCTGACTGGTCAGTGCATATACGAAAAGTCAACCGCGTCCACGGTGCTCCTTTGCATGTGACATTATGATTCACGTTTCATTGCAGCCAAATTCAAGGGTCTTGTCTGGTCTAATGGGGAAAATCCTGCGATCACTTTGGTCGGTGTTGGTGTTCGATTGCTTTTTCGCTCTTCTTTTCTGTTATTCTTCCATCCCCTCGCCTTACATTTAAGGGAAACTGTTACCTTTTTGCGGTTTCTCCTGACCACCCCTGCTTTTGGTCTACGGTATGATTTAGTAATTCTCCCTTTGTTTTGACATGCGGCCATAGCATTTGCCTGTCTTCGATGTATATAGCTAGGCCGCGATCTGGTTTTTTTTTTCCTAATAGAACGTGTCTTTTGATAACTAATATGACTCATTCTGGTTAACTTGAAAGATAGCCTAGGATAATCCTATAATAAAACCTATAGATACTTCTATAAAGGGTTGTTTAGGAATCGGGAGCGATTCGAGCTCTCTGTACGGCCTATACCGAGGGGTTTAGGTATTTTCAGATATTTAGTATATTTCAACGTAGTTTTCTATATCTTTTTCTATATTAATCTAATAAGAATTCCTTTTTCAGGACGTCCCATATTCCAGCTTTATTAAATTAGCTAGCTATTCATAGTATAATTATAGTACCCGGTAGCGTTTTCCTTCACGCTTTATACTCCTAACCTATATCTAAAAGTTGCCGGGGGTTTGTAGTTGAGGCGCTCTTTCTAAGTTCGGAAGTGTAGTTTCCTCCGATGTTACGTTTATCGATCCTAAAGATATAAAAGGTCCTTTTTCTCAGTCTTCTCAGTCTTCTCTCACTTCCCCCCTACCATCACCTCTCTCTCCCCCGCTCTCATCCTACTCTCACCTCCTACTTCAAATCTCATACCTATTTCCAGAATATATCAATAGAGGCGATTCAACGTCAACATGCTTACCTGTAAGCCATGTGCATTGTTCCACACCGAGAAACCCCTTGAAGTCCACCGCAACTCCACTTTACACGAGGGGATGCATCCCTCTCAACTCTTCCTTCGAATACCGACTTGATTACCATTCCTATTTACAAATAAAAGCCATATGGACATTTATTCGACATTGAGCAACTGCTGGAAGTCCACCGCAACTCCACATTACACGAGAGGATGGTCATATCCCCTCCTACCTACAAATGCGGCACCTGCTCCGAATTCCACCCCCAAGCCAGCCCCATCGTCCAGGCGCCGCAGCACGCCTGTTTCCAATTACCGAGACCATACCAATAAACAACAGGTCAACGTGTCTACGAGCCCTAATTAGGTAATTTCTAGCGGGCTAGCCCCTGGGATATGAATGGCATCATCAATATTACTAATGATTTGACACATTATTGTATAATAACAACACTCCATTGCTGTCTTCAAATGCATGCTATGTAAAAGGTGACTTTCCATATATAATAAGGAGTTACTCTTCACCCATAAATCCTGAACCCTGCGGCTTGTTGCATCCCCGTGTCCAAATTGCAGCTGCTTCACTGTTTGTTTGGATTTGAGCCGATTCGATGCCGATTTCTCGAAAATCGCATCAATGTAGTCTTGTCCCAGGCCACGGCTTCGCTTGTCGGTCCTTGGGGGGCCCGAATTTGATGTCGAAAGAGTTGAAATCCTCGTCCATAATGGCTGCACTCCCTGAGGTGAGGGTTGTGCAAACAGATGGCTTGCTGTCGGGGAAGCTTTCAGTGTGCAATAAATGGTCTTATAGGGTTTCTAGCTGAGGGTTTCTTTTTGCTAAGGTCTCGGAAATTAGATAAATTTCCCTACAGTCTGATGTTATTTGTTAGGCCCCTGTCAACGATTGGGGAATTCTAGTTTGTATTTGATTAAGCTAAGGCCTTGACTAAATGCGCTTATCTTGTACTATTTTAGAACTTGCCAGGTAGGCCTAAGGATGTTTGGTTTAATGTAGACAGTGGTATAATAAGTCATTCAGTCTCACTTTGACCTCACCTCTCCCTTTTGTCTCATTCTAACCTCCTCTCACTTAAAATGCTATACATGTCCATTTCTCAGACTCCATCTTTCACTTTTATCTCATTATACCATGTCTCCCTACTTCTCTCACTTAGAGTATCATACGTCCCCATTTCCCAAAATGTATAAAAATAGACAATCCCACGCCGAGTATCTTAGACTTCCAACCATCTGCCAACCGCATCAACATGTTCATCTGTATGTCCTGTAGACGCTCATTCCGCTCCCAGTTACTTCTCGCAGGCCACTGCCAGTCTCCCGCACACCGAAACAGGGCAGAGGATGCTCCTGGTTTGCGCAGGGCGGGATCTACTAATCCCCGTGTGTTGTTGTTTATTTCTCCAGATCACATCCACCCCCATCTGGTTCCTATGGCAGACCTACAACTCAGATAGGTTTTAAAGAAGGAAATCTCCAAACTAAGGGTTCAAAGTAAGAAGAAATTGAATAAAAAGGTAGAGAATATTGAAGTGAAGTCGAGGACGTCGTATACTTCGGTTCTTTGATTATCCGGGCCGATTTTCTTCCGCATCATCTTCCGGCCGCAGACATTCGCCATAGCTCCGTATTCGTTTCATACAACCTTCTTTTTAAAGAGAATTCACTTCTCTTCACTTTCAGTCATGCCTCGCATCAATAAGAAAGTCAAAAATGCCCCTCCGCCACGTGCTCGCGGGCCAGGCAAACCATCTGGCTCATCTTCCAACCCTGCCAAGGGACAGCAGCATGGCAATGGGCAAAAGCAGGGCAGTGGCAATGGAAATGCACCTAAGAAAATTTCTTTGCAAGCAAATCAAAGACCTATCGTACCGTTTTTGAGGAAGGATCGAATTCTCTTGGTTGGTGAAGGTGAGCTTTTCTTCTGTTTTAGTTGACATCATTACTCTGCGTTCTTCACTTTATGCAAGAATTGCGTTGGAATCAATTCTATGCATATATTTTCCTGTGCTTCTATGCCTAGAGTTGTGTTTTCACTTCAATATACATGATTGAAACCAATATGCATTCCTGTATAAAAACAAGAATCAACACGCTTCAACGATTTATCTATCATATCTGGAAAGCATAAGTTCTAACACCCATCAGGTGACTTCTCATTCGCCCGCTCATTGGTAAAACAATACAAGTGCCGCAAAGTATGCGCCACATGCTACGACTCCAAGGAGACACTGTACAACAAGTACCCGCAAGCTCCTCAGAACGTCTCAGATATCATTGGCGCACCAGCAAAGCCAGATCCAACAAGCGACGACACCGAAAAGCAGGACGAAGAGAGCAAGTCTGAAGACCAGGACTCAAGCAATGACGCTGAAAAACAGCCAGAAGAGAGCAAATCCGAAGATCAGGAGTCAACCAACCCCAACCCCAACCAGCAATCCCCCAAAGTCGTCTTCTCCGTGGACGCACGCAAACTCGGCACTCCAGCTGGCGGCGGCAAGGAAATCCGCACAGGATTCACACGCCGCGAGCGCAAGAGACCAGCCTGGTACCAGCAGGACGAGCCAGTAGGACCACCGTACCAGCCTGGCGGGCCGTGGGATGTAATCTGCTTCAATTTCCCGCACGTTGGCGGGCTGTCTACGGACGTGAACCGACAGGTTCGTTCGAATCAGGAGCTGCTGGTTGCATTCTTCAAGGCGTGTATTCCGCTTGTTTCTAAGCCGCCGCCGCTTATGGATGCTGATGATGATGAGTGGGTGTATGCGGATGGGGAGGAGAGTGAAGAGGAGGATGATGATGATGAGGAGGAGGAAGTAGCTGAAGGCGAAGAGCTAGGGAAGGATGATGATACCACTGGGAAGGGATTCCGGACTGGGCCTGGTCAGATTCTTGTGACTCTGTTCGAGGGGGAGCCGTATACGCTTTGGAATATCAAGGATTTGGCGAGACATGCGGGACTGGTTGTTGTGACTAGTTTCCGGTTTCCTTGGACTTCTTATGAGGGGTATTCGCATGCGAGAACGGCGGGACATATTGAAGGGAAGGATGGGGAGCGTGGAGGATGGAGGGGAGAGGATCGGGAGGCTCGGATGTATGTCTTTGAAGTGAAGCAGAAGGAGCAGGCCAAGAAGGGAGGGAAGAAGAGGGCCAGAGATGATGATTCTAGTGATGATAGCGAGTAGGGGTGGGATGTATACTATCAGGTTTAGTAAAACTGTACAAATTGTACAAATTGAGTTGTAGCTCATTTCGTCATTGGTAAATGCCTACCCGAGTTCACATAATGTACACTTTCTTCATCTCGTCCTCGTGGAAAACCTCTCCTGTTGTTGGGTCTTTGACATTGCCTGAATCCACTGATCCCATCTTCTGGCTGATCTCTATCAGTTTTTGCTTCCCGTAGACTCGACCGTTGGGTAGAACTATAGAGTCGCTTTCCACGTAACTCTTTGAGTGGTGGGCGTAAGGCATTTTGCGTGCAAGCTCATTCAGTTCAGTTGAGCAGATAGGACACACAGATGTGGACGTTGACTGTGAATTTGAGCTGGAAGATGTGTATGCTGAATGGCACAGAGGTGTTTTAAGAGCCGAAAGGCCTGCAGAAAGTGCAATATGTAATAATGGCTGTGACGGCAATGAAAGCAGCTCGTGGTGAGTCTGAATGAAAAGGTTCGAGAGATACTTCCAGCGGTCTAGCGCAAAAAGAGTCTGTACTGCATCAGTAAAAGCACTCTAATCAAGTGTGAATGTTTGTCTTACTTTGTAGGGCTCGGCTTTTGTGTCCTGCTTGAAAACTAGTAACCCCGCAGCGCGCATGATCTCCGAATTCTGAGATTGATGGTTCGGTATGAGGTATTTCTTTGCGTGAATAATCGCCTCAATCTTCTTAGACTTGTCTTGTGTCCTAACCATCTCGATATATTGCTGCAACCGGAGTTCGAATTCAAGATTGTGCTTCATAGGCGGTGAGTTAGCTGTCAAAATAGCAGAAGTTATTCTGACTTACCTGGCTCTTCTTGAGCGCCGCCTTATTCTCTCCGCACCACTGCAATGCCTCCTTCGTTTCCCCGCGCCGCAAGCTCTCCACAACTCGTTGGCACTGCGTGAACACACCCAGATCCACAAGATCCTCCACGTCCCTATCCTGTGCCAGCTGCTTTGCACTCTCTGAATAACCTGAGCGCAGCATGTGATCAACAAGCAAGCGATCCAGCCGTACCCTTGACCACTGGTCATACTTGACATCGGCTAGGCTCGGGATCTTGTGCAGGGTCTCCAAATGTTGAATACGCCTGCGGGATTGGTTGTGGATTTTCTTCTCCTCCTCCTGCAGACTTTCCATTTTCCTTTTGAGACCTTGCATTCTGGATATCATTGCGTCGAGTGCAGCGAGAGTCTGTTCGGGCGTTTGGGTGTTGGAAGCGGCAGCAGTCTCTTTGAGTGCCGGAATGACATATTCTTTCTCTCGCTCGACGGCTCGTTGTACGGTTTTGAAGTTCTTGCGGGCCAGTTCATGTGGCAGTCGAAGGAGTGGTTGGTCCTATGTAAGAACATTGGTCAGGGTCCCGCTTTAACATGGTGCGGAGTAATGAGTACCAGGATGATGTGACTCTCCGGGTTGAGCTTGGTGGAGGTGAGTTCTGCTGCCATGATGATGATTCTCAAGTCTCCTTTGATCTTGGATCCCAAGTCCGAAAGATAATAGTCGAGGATTACAGTCTTGACATGAAGTTGAGGGGAAGGAAATGCGGAGAGAACGCTCACGAGATCCACACCGAGGACAAGCCATTGACCGCCTCCATTTGCGGTTATACCACACATCGCTTATACTTCTTTAGTGAAGTCCTAACATCTAGAGTGATATATATTAAGTGGTTAGAGTAATAATAAAACTGTAGTTTTGTGTTTAAAAGGGCCGAGGCTTTTATTAATAGATATACACTCGAATTTTAAGATCCTCTCCCGGTGTGGTTTGTTCCGTATACAACTTACCTTATTTAAAACCCTCGATAGTAAAACTTTCTTGTACCTGAAGTAGTACTTCTGTGCAAATCATAAGGAAGTTGTATAGGTAGAAGGGCAAATACAGATTGTTAGTGATGTCCAAAGAGCTACCCGTGGACTCTAATATAACGTATAATTCGATCCTCGTCCAAATTTAGGGGGTATTTATTATTTGTCTTTTAGATTCTAAATTAAATAGTTCTCGCACCTTTACCTAATCCTAAACTAGAAGATATCTATACTTGGTTTCCTATTCCCTTCCTGATTATACCAAGTTGCGTGACCAATTCACCACTAGATCTTCGAGGTCGACTCCTCGGGCTAATAAGCCTAGAATGAAGCTTATTCGCGACTTGAAAGATCTATGGAATCAGTCTTTTATGACACAAAAGTATCTATAGAGAAGTATAGATGTCAATTCAATATTATTATTAGTCGAAATGCTAAGTAGGTATTAGGTGGTGATTTGCAGCTTGATCCTGGCGGTGAGTTGCATGAGAAGATCCTCGATCACATTTCGTGGAGAGCAGAGGGCGTTTTCATCTGGGTTTACGTCGTTCTGCAAAACGTCAAAGCGGGTATCGAACAGTGGGATGAAACATGGGATGACACATACGACCGTGCTTCTATGCTGCCGCCAGATCTCATGAAGCTTTACAAAGATATGTGGTCTAGATTGGGTGATCATAACGAGAAATACATCAAGAGAGCAGCGCGATACTTCCAGTACTCTCGGGAGATGTGGTATGATTCCTACATCGGCAGTCTTGCTCTAGTGGCAGACGACCAAATGTTGGAAGCTTTTTCAAGACCAAATGAGGTTCCATCCCTTGGTGAATTTATCAAAATGTGTGGATTCACCTTGAATACTCTATTGCCAGTTTCCGGCGGACTCCTAGAAGTCTACACCCGTTCAAACAACCCCGAGTATGTCCAAAATTTGACAGAAAATGACAAAAAGGTGTATTGGTGGTTAGAAAGGTTTCGTGTAAAATTCATACATAGAACTGCCATCGACTTTTTGGATAGCGACGAAGGGAAGAAGGTGTTTGAAAGGCACGCATTGGGACCCGGAGACATTCTCTCATTAGGCGTCAAAGTAGAACTAGCCCTTCGTTCTATTTATCGTCACAAACATCATCCTCTCGAAGAAGTCTGGAGTATCATGTCGAAAACATTTCACTGGTCCGCGAGCAAGGAAGACCTCACTCAAGTATCTAGCGACCTTTTATCCACGATTCATCAATGTGCACTCAACAAATCTAGAGGACTTATTCGGCCACCCTACTGGATAAATTATCAGAACTTCTTTCTGTTTGAAGCATGCACCTACGGCTTCTACGAATATGTTGAAGAATGGTTGGAATCCTCTGACGATTATGATTTCACTGCTTCAACTTATGATCCGATCGGCGCATGCGACGATCATGCTCAGAGTAAACGTCCCGATCCGAGTAAACGATACCAGATGATTCAAGATATTTTAAAAAGGTACTCGCGATCTGACATGGGAGTCTTGGAACCGTCAGCTGTTCGGGATGCTTCCGACAATACCATGCTGGCTTGGCGTTGCTTCCTGCTGCACGAAGGTGAATGGCGATGTATACACTCTACGAGGGGGAAGGAAGAACAGAAAACGGTAGAAATTTTGGAATTATTTATCAAAGCTGGGGTAATGGCAGAGTCGCCAGGGTCGAGATACCTTGTAGCGGTGCAATACTCGAACTTGGAGATCGTGAGAAGGCTCACTGATGAACAATCGGACCTCGGATATGGAATCTTACGCCATCAACGGTCTCGCCCCGAGATTCCAACGATATATACAGAGCCCAATGACGCCTTCCTCCTGCAACAACTGTCGAGCAACATTTCTGGGACATCGGAGCTCATATGAATCCAAGAAACGGATGCTTTCATGAGACCCGTCTTAGTCGATATCGGTGTGAAGCGCCGAAAGGGAACCAACTTCTTCCACATACCAATCAACGAGAACGGACTAGACGCTTCAAAATTATGGATATTTGGAGACCCGCGCCGATTTATACAAAAGGTTCTTCCTGACCTGGAGCTTGATCCCCTTCAAGCAGTCGACTTGGGGATATTTCCAAATGCAGTGGATGCTTTGAACAAGATTGGCTATCATCTGCCGGCAGTGAACAAGGCCGGGGGCTATGATTGTTTACATGAGTGGTGTATAAACCCTGTGTGGGATCCGATATTGGGGGTTGGCGTACCTGAACCGGGGGACCCGGAAGTGAGAGGATATAAATCAGAAACTTGACACAACCATGTTGTGTTGGTTGTGGTCTTTTGATGAAGTCGCTGTTCTATCAGACAAGTACCCGTTCTAGTGGGCCCCGGCCAAGTCAGTCACCTCAATATAGCCCTATCTAATGTACTCTTTTATCACTCTTAACCGTTGTCCGCTGAAGTCAATCCTTGTCTCGCCTCTACCTAGCAAATGTACCGGCCATATTTGTTAGCATTACTATTCTGCGGTTATAGTTGTCTGACAAGTGTGGAATCTAGCCACTTCATGAGCATACATTGTTCTTCGTCGAAGCATTTGGCTGCAAGCCTAGTAAGACAATAATGTGCACATGTGAGATTATAACCTATTTTTTATCCAGAATCCTTCTTTATGAGAAAATATAACCATTCAACTCCGAAAAACACCATAACAATGCGCAAATCAAGGCAGACCGGTTCTTCACATGGAGATGCTTACTTCTCCCAACCCTCCCATCTAGCAAAGTCCCCCGTATCCAAATCAAACAAATCCAACATTCGCCCGACACTCTGATCTACCAAATCATCAACCGAGGCAGCACGGATGTAATACGCCGGCACAGGGGGGAAGATGATCGCGCCAGCGCGTGAGACCTCAAGCATATTCCTCAAATGAATATCACTCAACGGAGTCTCCCTCGCAACAAGAACCAATTTCCTCCGCTCTTTGAGCATAACATCGGCAGTCCGTGATATCAAATCATCACAGAACCCACTGTGGATAGCGGCGAGAGTCTTCATACTGCACGGCACGACGATCATACCATCAGCCTTGAACGAGCCACTCGATATAGGCGCAGCCATGTCGTTGATGCTATGAACGTGGTCGGCGAGCGCCTTGACGTTGGATGGGTGGTAATCTGTTTCATATTTGATTGTGGCCTCGGCCCACTTGCTCATGACCAGGTGGGTTTCGATGTTGAGACGACGAAGAGCGATGAGGGCTTTGATGCCGAGGATTGCGCCTGTGGCACCAGTCATGGCTACGACGATGCGTCTGCGTCGTGCGGGCTGGGGGACATGGGTTTGTTGGGTTTCCATTAGGGTTGTTGCTTCGGATGGGCTGCCAGCGGGTGAGGCGCGAATAGACGAAGGCGTGTGAGTACCGGAAAGAAGGGAAAGTATTTGGGTCGAAGTTAAAGATGTATAGTTGGTTCAAGTTGTGGTTTTTGTTTGTAGTTGTAGTTGCATGGTAGTGTGTGAAGATGAAGTCTAATGCGGATGGTATTTCAGATTAGTAGCTACGACCATTTATACTAAAACAGTGACAAGAGCTTTTCTTGTTTTCCACAATATTCAGAAAATGATAAGCCGACTTCCGACGGGCTTGTAGCAGCTGTGAAACGGCCCGATTCCAGTATACAAATGATCCACTCCGAGGCTCCGAGTATCCGAACTTCCAAGGTTTCCGAGCCGAGACACTTGGTGCCACTTGAGATTCGAACTGCATAATCTGTAATGTAAGTAGTCTCTGCGAGGGTCCTCCTATTTAAATTTGATATGTTCAACATCAACTCACTATGATTTTCTTCCATTGTACATGTTTGCTATGCTTATCCCAACTAATAACAAGGTAGCTTTCTCCTCTCCAGAGACTGAACATCAGGTCTTTTTCCTCTCTATATATTTAGAATTAGATATATATCTTAGGCTACCGGGCATCTCCCAGTTCTTTCAACTAAATTCTATTTGCTCCTAGAAAGAAATGTTTGATATTTTGCTTTCATGGGTGTATAAAAGCAATAGCGTAACTCATGAAGATCAATATTATGCTCTAATGACGAATGGGTCATTGTATGATGCCTGGAGATCAAAGGAAGCTATTTTCCCGAGTAAAGTCGAACATCGGAACTGCATGGACAACGTCAGCTGATATTCACAGTAATAAAACTCACTACAGGATATTACCATTCATGATCGAATCAAGATAAGATACAGGTGAGTTGTCGATCGGGTTTGCAATATCGAAAAACGCATCAGGCATACTAGAGACGTTAGTGGGAGCCACTATGCAAGACATTGATACTCACCCCGAACCGAAGAGACCAGGAATGAAACCAGGTCCTGCCCAGGTCTCGTTCTCAGGAATACTGTTATCTTGCTGTCGGTCTAAAGCACCACGAAGAGTAACCAAAGCACGAATATGTCTCGCAGACAACCACTGAATATCATTCTCTGCACCTCCTTCCTCAATCGTTCGGGAGTCCGATGAAGTGAACACATCGATGACGCGCTGCTGTAGGTCCCGGCATTCAGGGTCATTTCGAGTTTCTTCCCACATACAGAGAAGCAGAGTTGAGCTCAAAACTGTATGCACCATGGACCAGCTACGCAGTGGTACCACACTTAGCGCCTGGAAATCGAGAAATGCCCGGGAAGCTTCAATCAGGCTTCCCTTTACCCGGTTCCGTAGAATATCGGTTTGAGGGAGCTGTGGTTGCGGCTGAGACTGTTTCATTGCCGGGCGGCATACCACGGACACGCAAAAAGACGAATGCATTCTAAGTGCCAGGTGCTCAAAGTGCTCCTGCAGAGTTGTACAATTGCTTCGCATCTGTAGATGGGGCTGTCCGCCTTGGTATAATGTATCCAAACGCTGTAGCGCTTCGACTGCTCGGTCAATTTCATTGACGCTGGAAGATTCTGGCCGCATGATATCTATCCCGAGGCGACAGAGGGAATGCATGACCTGAAGATATGACAGGTTGTCTTTCTGTATGGTACTAGGGTCAACCGACCATCCAGTTACTGTGACGATTGGCGGGCGATCGTAGCTCATCGATAACAAGCTATCTTGCCATACTATAGAGGACCTGGTTGGCTTTAGTAATATACTGGCATAGCGACAAAACTATTGCTCACCAAAGTGTTTTTGCTTTAGATCGCACATACTCCGGCCAATGAACATTGCTTCGCTCTGTGTGTAATCCCATCGTCTGAGCAAGCCGAACGGTCGTGCCTAGCAGCGCCCAAGCCGCGTCTGATTGACCCATGTTCTGTAGGGTATTGCCGATTATGAGAAGTGCTTGTATGGTGTCTAGGGAAGGTCGGAAGAGGAAGTTGGCCAGACGGAGGGCATGGAATGATCGGCGGACTGTGACTGTCAACAGGAAGTATGAGAAGTAATAAAGACGTGGACTTACCGAAATCAGTTGCTAACTCCAATCGCTGGGGGTACTCAATGTCCGAGTAATGAGCACCAGCAGCCAGAGTAGCTAGAAGAAGACTGATGTGACCAAGTGACTTGTCTGTCACCCAGCGATTAGAGATTTTGTCATGCTCACGTAGTTCCCCTGCGGAGTAGGCGTTTAGATACGTGCAGAGATCCAACTCAAAGCGATCCATATCAGCAATAATAGGATTGAATGGGTATGACGTGATTCGATAGTAGTGGAAGAATCTCATAACATCAGCAGGTATCTTTTGTTAGGCTACTAGGGACATACTTCAAGACTTCACTTCTCTGGGGTAGAACACTGAGTAGGAAGTTCCACCGTTCCTGTGGGGTCTTCGGGTCCATGAACGGGTAACTATTGAAAGTATTTTGAAGACCCAGGACCGATCCCAGATCAGTCATAGATTCATTCCCATCCGATGCTCTTGAGCGCAATATCGAGACGACCGAGTTATCCCCAGAGTATACATAATTCTTCGCCGCATCGTCTGGTCGAATAGAGGTAGAAACCGGCGAGCTAACAACGGCATTGGTTTGTCTTCTTGACTGTGGGCGTGCTGGACTTGGCGATGCAGACTGGGCACTAGCAGCTTGGGAGGGCTCCCTCCTCGGATCTCGGATGGGATCATAAGTGCAAATATGCGGGTGGTTTCTCTTCTGGCAAGTGCGACAAGGCTGAGTTCCATCACATTTGACTTTTCTTTTTCGGCATGGATAGCATGCTCTTATTTCCCGTTCTTTGCGCTTAAGACGGAGTACTCGGTCGGCTTCGTCGTGGCTTGGCGCGCTCATGTTCCCGAGGAAGCCGAGAGGCCGGTTTCCGAGACTGTTGAGGATTTTTCAGAGCTCAGTGGATCAGTTTGGTCAGATGAGCCGTTCAATCTGATGACACAATGAAATGCATTCACAAACATGTCTGAAGTGGAAGTTGGCGGATGTGACTTTTGGCCGGATGGCGATATCATGTTACTCGCGCACGGGCCTTGATTTTGATATTGGAGATGTATAGATCTCGGCTTCGGATCCGGGCCACAGCACTACTAGGCATACAATAACAGGTGTTATGAGGTTAGAGGAGCTATAGATATATTCCAGCCAAATTTTGATATCGAAGCGTTATCAAAGCGTATAGTCGTTCTGGGCGTACGTCTCATACGCAGAAATCCGATACAGTTCACAGTTCACGAAGATGAAGAATTAGATTGAATATTCTTCCATATCCCGGGTAAGTAGTCACACTTTGCAGCTATAGCCCCTACTGTCTGGCGAGGCTAATACTGTGATTGATTTCTTATTTGTTTTGGCCTTGATCTTGGTCTTGGATTTCACAAGGTGGGATTATTTTCACACCAAAAACAAGTATTGCAGTGAGAAATGGACGGACTCAGGCGGTCGTGACCTTGACAGTCTTGAGGTCGGTGTAGAGGTTTAATTATTGTGCAGGGTTGGGGGGTCTTGCGATTTGACGCAGCAGTTATCTTGACATGCTTTATCCGGCTTTTATCTGGTTCTTTGCCTTTGAATATGACCTTTGAGCACCATAATAGTCGTCGGATTATGAACACAGATAGCGCAAACGGAGTCATCTACGATGTGGAAATGCCCGTTGTCGGCTATTTGTATGAGGAACTCAAGGTGTCAATCTGCAATTGATTGGGATTTGATCTGTTAGTTGCCACTGCCAGTTGGGGGAGCATGGAAGTATTACGACTATTAGTCAAAGAGAGTGGAACATTTCCTCGGGGCCCTAGAGAGATTGGTAGAATCCGGACTGCCTTAGAGGAATCCAGGAGCATTCCTGAGACCCCGGGATCAGAATCGGAATGGGCACTGACCGTACGCCTTTTCTTGGGAATTGTTAATGTCATGGAGGAGACTATCTCGGTTGGCTCATTTGCTTTTGGTGTGTGTCATGAACTCCTGATTGACGAATCTCATGCACGCTCAGATCAGGAGGTTGACGAGGCCTTGAAGATACCGAGGCTACTATTGAAAGTCAAGGTTGTATTAGACCGCCTTTGGCTTGTTGCGAAAAGAGACATACTCTATAATCAATCCATCGGAGGCGGTGCAGGCCTATGGGGGTTTGATGAAAGTGCATCAGCAAAAGATCTATCAAGATGGCGTTGGTGGAATATGGACCTCCTCCTAATAGAGTTGGAGGATTACGCATCACTTCTCGAAGCAGTACGCGTTGAGCTTGGATTACATATCTATCTCAAGGTTTGTCTGTTCTTTCCATTATACAACCATAATATTGACCGGGCTATACTAGGATTTGACGTATGAGCCGTATCAGGTCGCTGAAAAAGCCTCGACGCTCATTTCTGTACACGCTAAGTTTTACGACAGACTTTCCACAGGGTCGTACGAGATGTATCGACTGTTGAACAAAATATCAGACCAGGACCGTCGGTGATGTGGAATCGAGCGTTAGGCCTCTACGAAGACATATAGGGCCTCTCTACAATATGGTTGATAGATCCGTTTGTTAGGAAATCATCCTCCCACTTACAATCTTTGTATTTAAGACCTATTAAAGGCTCTAGTTTGACTAATTTCCTTTCCTCTCCATTGTTAATTAATATAGCGCTAATCATGGAAGTAATATGTGGCTTAGGCAGATCGAAGGCAGTGGCTTTTTACTGTGATAATATTATATAGCCTTAGAACTTATATATTGCCGTGGAACTTCCCTGGTTTATACATTTTTGAATAGACCTAGATTCAACGAACTAAGAGTGATTCTCTAGCCCATATCTCCGGGTCCAGTTTAACGCCTCTGCTCGAACAGGATCATCTTAACTAGTAGGAAACAATTAGATATCTCTAACCGGAAACGTCTTAACAAAATGTACTCACTCCTCGCGGAATCCCATCTGAGTCCAATTATCCAAAACCTTCTTCTTCAACTCCTCAGGATAAGAATGCTCAAAGTCCGCAGACACCCAATCCCTACCAGTCGTATACTCAACAGGCAGAAGGGCATCAGAAACAACCTTTCCGCCACGAGTAGGAGAATGAGCGCCATGACCCATATACGGAATGAGCGGGAAACCGCGAACATCCTCGAAGAAAGTCTCATCAGAACCGGGTCGGCATCTGGTCGAGAAAGCCCACATCACATCTTTCCCGTTGTAAACGTCGATATCGTCACCGCAAAGAACGAGTCGGTGGATGGTATAACCTGCCTTGGTGTTGAAGATCAAATCACCGATTTGCTTTCTCAGGTCCACGGAGTTGGTTTTCATTTCGCGGAGACGGGCTGTTTCGATGCGAAGGGCTACCCAGGTGACTTGGGACTCGAAGGGAGCGAAGGCGTCTGTGACGGGGAGGTTGTTTTGTTGACAGATTTTGCGAATTTCGGCGGCGGCGAGGGAGCCGATCATTGTGTGCTGGAGATGTTAGTATGTCGATTGCGAGGGAAAGGAGTGAGCTTACTGTTTCATCCGTCAGACGACCACAAGAGGACATAGGCATAATGGGATCATTGCGGTAGGTGATCTTGTTGACCGTGTACTTAGGCCAGAGATGAGTATCACCAGGGAAGACGTATCCATGCATTTCGCCGAATGGTCCTTCAGGGGCCTGATCAGTGATCGAGAGGGTACCCTCGAAGACAATCTCCGAGGTTGCAGGAACAAGCAGGTTATTCGTATCACATTTGACGAGCTCGAGGGCAGATCCAGTCATCGCACCGACGTATTCAGCCTCACTGACACCATCCGGGATGGGCATACTAGAAGCCATGATGGCAGCCGGTGGAACACCGAAAGCCAGAGCCCAAGGGACATCACGACCTTCTTTCTTCCACATCTGGTGGATCTGCCAGATGTGCTGAGGCTCGATGACAAGACCGGCAAGATGGCGTTCATCGGAGACCATGGCACGTGCAATGGACCAATTCGTCCATGATCCATCGGGTGATTGGACGATATGCATACCATACGTCTGGATATACTTTCCACCGTCATGTTGGTGAATCATAGGCGCAGGGATCTTCATCAGATCAATCTGATCGCCTTCAAGGAAGTTCTCCTTGCAAGGACCCGTCTCTAAGATCTGAGGGGGGATGGGAGCCATCGTGCTAGCGGAGAGCATCTTGTCGAGGATATCGCGCATGGATGCAGTAGGTGGGAGAGCAAGATGGCGTGCCAACCGGCCATAGCGGTCTTTGGAGGATTTCCTCAGCGAGGCTGGGGCACCGAGGATACGGAAGAGACCATGCTGGGAGCCAATGATGTTGTTGAAGAGGGGAGCTTTATCGTCTGTCTCGCAGACACGACGGGTGATAGCTGCAGCCTCGAGATTGGCATCGATGGGAGTGTTTATTTCGACCAAGTCGTTGTCAGCCTTGAGGGCTTCGACGAAAGAGCGGAAGTTAAGATGGGGCTCGGTAGAGACCATGATTGATGTATTTGATAGAGAGAATATGTCGGAGCAATGTAAGTCTATCTAGTTCGTCAGAGCGTTATATATGATCATCCGGTTAAATCGGCTTGATCATATGCCAGTTTAGATTAGCTTTTTCATGACTGCATCTCCGTGCTGCAGGTATGTCCTCGTTAGGTCCCGAGCTTGCGAGCCTCCGAGTCACCGAGAGTGGAATGTTCGACGCCATCGCATTTCGATTGGACAATTACTTTCGGATCTCGGAGCATCAACTATTCAAGAAATGTGAATAAGACGGCATTTCCGATTATATTTACAGAGTTGAATGTGGTAGATACCACACTGTTTGGCTAAACAGAACCCACTATAAAGAGGGTACCACTACTCGCCACCGGGACCCTACCCGATATCACTACTTAACACACTCGGAAAACTATTGGAAGCGGTGATGGCCCGACGGCTCCTTTCTTCAACACTATAGATTTCTACTGGACACCCAGTTCGGATGTCCGGGACGCACAGCGGGAGCCCTCCCAGTGCTTGCCAACGCAATCGACCAAGAATGGTATAGATAGAAGGTCGTCACCCTAGTAGCATTTGACCTAAGAAAAGGCTATTGAACACTCGTGAAGGAACTCTAAGAGCTATCTTGTGGAATTCTTGTAGGCTATGACTCTGTACTTGTGGAGTCACAAAGGATCGTCATACCAATGTACTGAATGCTGGCGTGAAGAACGCGTCGGCAGCTACGGGCATCGAAGAACCAAATCTAGAACGTCAGATGGCAATGGGCCCGACTAGGCCGAGCCCCACGGGGGAGCTTCATGTCAAAAGGTGAATGATAAAAGAAGTTGGAAAAAACGCTACATATACGTGATCGCCGACGTTACTCAGATTTAAAAGAATGGTAGATTCAACAGATAGGCAGCCTTCAATATGAAACTCTGGAATAGAACAAATTTCCCTTTTGACCCAAGACTCCGGAAATAGCAAAATATGGTACAGGAAAAGAACCTGACGGTCTTCCTGGAGTGCATCTAGTCGCTGTCATCGCTATCATCCTGCTTGGACTTCCGGCGCTCCTTCTTCTCCTTCTTCTCCTTCTTCTTCTTCTTGCGCTCGGCCTTCTCCTCGGCTGTCTCGCCGTCGCGCTTGCGCTTCTTGTCCTCGACCTCCTCCTTCACGGGCTCGGGGGAGTCAGCCTTGGGGGTCTCAGTCTCGGTCTTAGTCTCGGCGGCAGGGGCAACAGCGGAGGTTCCGGTGATAGGAAGGTTGAAGTCCTTGTACTCGCTCTTCCAGGCAGCGGGAGTAGCCTCGTTGGTACGGCCGAATTTCTGAGAGATAAGTCAGTACGTTGTACGAAGTAAAGGCAATTTTTAGCCACTTACATCGAGAGTTCCAGCGGTCTTCATCTTCTTCTTCTCAAGGGCAGTGGGTCCCAATCCCCAGCGGCGGGGGTAGAGGTCACGCTCCATGATGCAACGCTTCACCTTGGCAACAACGCCGTGGTCGCAGGTGGTGAGCTCGACAGTGGACATCTGAGCGATACCAATGGCGATAGCCTCACCCTTGGTGGTCATGAGGACAACCTCCTCGTGGCACTCAATACCAGCCTCTGAAGAAAAAAATTAGTGATGTTCCCAAAAAAAAAAAGCTCAGGGGGAAAAAGGTTCACATACCGTAACGGAGAAGACCGGGAATCATGAGCTTGGCACCGTAGCAGACGGCGTTGACAGCGCTGTCCTTGACGACAATACGCTTGTAACCGGTGAGCAGAGACTCCAGAGGGCTGATGACCTTGCGGAGGTAGGACTCGTCGCGGTTGTTGTCGTAGACCCACTGGGCGTCCATGACATCGTGCAGAGTGACCATACCAGGGCCCTCAGCCATGGCTCCAGAGCGAACACGGCGAAGTTCCTGCATGTGAGCACCAACACCGAGGAGGAGACCAAGGTGAACACAGAGGGTACGGATGTAGGTACCAGCCTCACAGCTGACCCAGAAGACACCGAGGTGGCGCTCGTTGTCGAACTCGTAGTTCTTGCTCTCGTGGATGGTACGGATACGGAGCTGGCGCTTGACGGCAGAGATCAGAGGGGGACGCTGGAAGAGCGCACCGGTCAAGGTCTCAAGGGCGCGGACGAACTGGGCCTCGCCACCGGGGATCTTGTCGTGGAGACGGATCACACAGACATACTCCTTACCGGCACCCTGCTGGGACTTGACCAGGCGGGTGGCACGGTCAATGCAGACGATCAAACAACCGGTAACCTTGGGATCAAGGGTACCACTGTGACCAGTCTTCTCGGATCTACAGAGGGTAAAGTGGTCAGTAAGGGTGTGAAACTATTAAGGGGATCTGATGGATTTTGATGTACCTAAGGATCCGCTTCATCCAAGCCACGACTTCGTGACTGGAAGGGTTGGACGGCTTGTCAAGGTTGATGACACCGGAGCTGACATATGACTTCAAGTCACGGCTCAGAGGAGAAGAGCCAGCGGGGATAGGGGTGAAGTGACCGGTCCGAACGAGCACTACAAAAAAAGTCAATGTTGGCTGGTCAAGCGTGGAGTTTTAAGGACAAGCGTACGCTTCTCATAGTTCTTTAGCAGAAGCGGCCAATCCGATGTATCAACGGAAGGAACGGACGCTTCAGGCTTGATGGCGTAGTCCATCTCCGAGGTCTTGACGACGGCCATTTTGTTGGTTGTCGTTGAAGGATGCGCGGTGAAAACCCCGAAAATTTGTCGAAGGAAATTTTGCGAGTGCGGCAGCTCCAGTGCCCGAAGCGGTTTAGCGCCTGGAGAAGACACCACGTGACTTGGAGTTCTCGACTTTTTTACGCCTCCGATTCCAAGGACTTCCAATTTGGAGACGTTTGGCTAATATAGATCATATTTGGGAAAATATACTAATCCATCCCATCAAAGATGCTCAGAGATGATTAACTACTAGGATTCAAAATTATGTGTTTGTGGACAAATACATGCCCAAAATTGCGTTCTTATCAATTATCACTACATGTATCGAGGTATGACAACTCCATATAGGCACAACGAACGCCGAAACGTCTACCAGTTGCAAAATCCGATCCCCCCCCATGTACTCCGGCAACATGCGTAGAGCATGTATGGCTCTTGATCTAACCGAGTCTCCGGCCACTGCCTCTGCCATTCCAAGAATTCGAAGAGGTCCAACTTGTCCAGGATGATCCTGATGTTGATGCCGACGAGGGTTCCTCAGCTGGCCTTGGTGCGCGCCTCGCCGTTCCATATCCTCGGTGTCCGCTGTTGGGATCGTGTTCGGTGAAGTACCTCTCCACGAAGGGGGGGACAGTGATGAAATTTCTTCCACCTCCGAAAGTTGGGTAGATACGTGTGAGGAAATCATAAGTATGGGCAGCGACAATTCCCGTGGATTCTACCACCGCGGCATGCCATCCGTACGACACCATGGTGAGAAGAAGCATTGCATATGGCAGGAATACCACCGGGATGTCGAAAAAGAAGAATCTCGTCTTCGTTCCTCGGTTCGTCTGGGAGTAGGTGTAGACAAAAGCCATGATCAAAGCTGATTTGAAGTCAGTGTTTGCCTGAGGATTCAATTGAGTACAGCAAGCTTACGTGACAGGAGGATAGACGCTCCCAGATAACCACCTGCAGTGAGCTTGGGTAAAGTCAGCAAATTTGGAAGAGACGGGTTGGACTACCAGGATGACGAGTACAAAATAGGAAGTGGATGGTATTGGAAAAGAATAGATGATGTATATAGAAATGTAGGGCACCTCCGATACCGACGCGATATGAAATCACGCCAGTGAGCTCGAAAGAAATCCCACCATGCCCACACCTGCACAACACCTGAATTTTGCGAATTATGATGGTGTTGCGCAGATGCAGGGGTGCTTTCCCTCGCCTTCAGGAACCGAATTCAGCTAGATTTCGAAGCTGGGCGGGCAGTTATAGCGAGGGATTGGATATGAAGCGAAGGCAAAAAAAGAAAGAGAAGCAAAAGAAAAAAAAGTGCAGACTCTACCGAGTCACTTACCATGATGCTGAAAGCTACAAAGAGGAGATAAATGAAAAACTCTCCAGGGCCCATGCTCCTCTCCGCAGCACTGCCATAGCGGTACACTATTGGTACATTAGCGGTCTGATCAGGCCAGGTCAATGTGATACCGAGGCATCATACTGATATAAAGATCATAGAGGAAAGAGTAGCTCGGTCCGGTTAGTAAAAATGGCGTGAACAGCCGGAAGATTTGCGGGCGCCATGAGAATATCAAGCTCGGCACGAATGGCGCCCAATAAAAGTCCAGTAGGCCGCCATACATCAAAGCGGATTGAACCAGAGTCAAGGCTGTGAGGGTCCTGCATGACAAGTCAGTAATCAGAGCTTGAGATCGGCGAATGGGACCTGCATACCTAATGACCGGGGGAGCCTGCCAGAAGACATCCATCTTGTGAGAGAATCAGATGCTAGATGGTTAATTGGTCTCAGCTTATTTCATTACAGCCGATCACAAAATAATCAAATTACTGTGTGGTTGAAGAAGGAAAGAGAAGGACAGGTGGAAAGAAAAAGGTGTGCAAATCTAGCTTCGGTGGAGTTTTTCCGAGGTCCGATGCTTACGTACTATACTGTATTCCAAGGGCGGATCCAATGGATTGTTCTATCTGCTTCGACTCCTGTAGGTAGCTGTCATTATTTTTAGTTGTCAGTAATTTCTCTGTGAGATATCATTCAAATTCTCTATCGTAAATGTACAAATATATTGCTTGGGAATGGGTATAGTTGGGTATATTATTCCGATATCGTGCGCGCAGTACCCCGAACAGCCAGCCCTCCATCTGGACCTTCAATCCACACATCCCAAGACCCAGTGTCATTCTTAGGCTTGCCACAAATCACCAGCTCCTGTTCAACAAAAAGAGGCGCTAGATTCTTATATTCAATGTCACTGATGCGGAGATTCAATGTACTCAGCTGTTGCCGAAGCACACTCAGAAGAAGCGTGAGCGTCAACGGACCATGCACCAAAAGATTTGGGTATCCCTCTTGGTTCTGAGTATAGCCCTTGTCAAGGTGGATGGAATGGGCATTGAATGTCAGCGCTGAGAATCGGAATAACAGCGCTTTAGTAGGTATGAGGGCATGCCGGAACGTCGCATTGGAGGGAGCTTCATTGCGCCAGAATCATTAGCACATTTGTCATCATGTTCAATGCTTGGAAGTGTATACTCACGTTTCACAATTCTGCCAGGTTTTCCAAATTGCGCTTTATCGGCCTCAAGTTGGGCGCTGGTTTTTAGGCGCATGAAAATGAGATCCCGGTTCTCAATGACTGATGATTCTCCCACGTTGTCTTCGTTCTCTTTCCATATCCGGTCCCAGGTCTGATCGGCACTTTCTTGTTCAGGGACATTGCCAATGCGTCGCTCAATAGTGACAATCACTTTCTCGTCCCCCTCGCGGCCCTTGACTGTTACATTGCGGATGGATTCTATGCAGACTGCGCGACTACCATCCAGAGGCGGACTGCGCACAGGAAATCTTATATTTCCACCTGCCCAAAGGCGCCGATTGAATGGTTCGCCCGGTGTGTGTAATGTATCTGTGCAGTCCGGGAGTAGTTGGGACAAAGTCACCTGCGGTGGGAAGTAGATCAAGTGGTGACCGGCCGGGAGCGGGGACGGGTTCTGTAATGAGGGTAGAGTCGCATAATCAGAGGAGGTTTGGGATTGTGGAAGAAGATCACGGAGCGTGAGGTTGAGAAGATGCGATGGTTGGGGGTGTAGGTAGTCGTAAGTCAATGGGAGTTTCATTGTGGTCAGTTCATGATGCAAGCGCTCGGCGAGCGAGGAATAATTCCGACATGCATGACGCCCACCTCGCAAAGAGATTAGGGGTCGGAGCGGATTTGTCTTCATGAGCAAAGACACTGACTGAATTGGACTATTGAATCGCAAATTCACTTGACGCAATAGAGTCATCCCGAGTTTGAGTTGTTTGTTTGTCGTTCACTTCCTATCTCGGAACTGCACAATCCAGCCCACACCGCTCGGAGATCCGATGTCGCCTGTCAAAGAAATGACGAGTCACTGGAAGATTTGAGTTGATTCAAATCGATTCAGCCCGTTTAACACGGAAAATACCACTTCATATCTTAATCACAATGGCTCCCTTGAGAGTAGCCTTCCTAGGGCCATTGGGGTCTTTTTCGCATCAGGTACGAACTTTACCCCACATTCTTGGCGAGTTAACTTGATGATTGATCCTTGTTTTAGGCTGCTGCAGAGTCCTTTTGCAAATTATCCGCCGATCTGCAACCCCAAGTCTCATTCCCTGATGCCTTCGCCGCGCTCCAAAAGAAAGAAGTCGACTACGCTGTGATTCCGTGCGAGAACTCGACCAATGGTTCTGTGGTGCAGACACTAGACCTCTTAGCAGACCGGGATGGCTTATATAAAGACGTGAAAGTGTGCGGGGAATATTACCTGACAGTGCATCACTGCCTAATGGTGCGCAAGGGCACATTCCCCGGTGGTTGGGCAGAGTACGACGGCTCAATAACAAAGCTATACACACACTCGCAGGCATGGGGCCAGTGCGAAACTTTCTTGACCAAATATTTCAAGGGCGTCGAGAGACAGGATGTCACATCCACTTCCAAGGCGGCCGAGATTGTCTCCAAGGAGACAACAGAACGAGGCGCTGCCATTGCCAATCGTTTTGCGGCAGAACAACACGGGACGGACATCCTCGTGGAAAACATCGAGGACCGAGCAGACAATACTACACGTTTCCTGATCTTCAGAAATGTGCTCGATCAGGGAACTGCACAGTTCAAGCTCGAGCAACCAAACCCGCCTACGTCGGAAGGCGAGCCTGCTCTTGAAACCACACACAAGACTTTGATTGCTTTCACGATTGATCATTCTTCTCCCGGTGCATTGGCGAATGCGCTGTTGATCTTCAAAGCTCATGGCCTGAATCTTACGAGCATTAACACAAGGCCGAGTCTGAAGAAGCCGTGGCAATATATCTTTTTCGTTGAGTGCGGAAGGACACCCTCAGATAAGAACAAAGATGCAGTTCACAAGGCTCTCAATGATTTGGGTCAAGTCAGTGAGACATGCAAGGATTTGGGGACCTGGAAAGATCACCTAAGTGCAAGCAATGCTTGACTCGACTCACTGGTTCTAATTGGAGGCTCATCTTGATCGTTTTGATTGAGAGCATTGCGTTGATTGTTTTACAAGCGCACTAAAAGCGTCATGTCATATATGCTGAAGATATCTCGGTTTACTACACGAATAAATGAAAGAAACACGTACGTACTATCGATGGTATGGACAAAATGTACACCGCACGATAAAACAGAGAATTTAATGGACAATAAATAGCACCTTCTATATCAACCCTTTCGGGTGCTTTTTTTGAATAACGAGCAAATAACGAGCGAAGACCAGAAAATGCCATTCAGAGCTGAAAGGACAGAACTGGCTGAGCAATAAAAACAATCCAACGCCGTCCAGCTTACATAGAGTAAGCAGTGCAAGCAGCGGTGGATGACCAAATGTTGCAGCTAACCGCACTCAACCTTTCAAATTGCAATTTAAACCTCATCTTCATCTCAGACACTGAGGTGACCTCAGCATGCGTATCTTGGAGCTTGGACGACACTGTACTCAAACATTAGAGCTAAACCCACAAGTGAGAGTCTAGTTGGATGTCTCACCTCTGAGCAGCTTCACGGAGCTTGGACCAGGCCTTTTTTGGATATCCTTTACGGATGCCTTGGTTCCATCGCGGGAGCCGCCTGCATGATCCACGGGGCGAGCCGTCAAAAGACTCGCCGTGGGAGCTTCTGGCCGTTCATCCTCGCTCTCTGCGAGGGGGCAATACCGTCAATCTGCAGATAAGTTAGTATCAATACAAACACGAAAAGCGAGAAGGAAACATACCGTCGTAGAACTCGTCATCATCGCTGTGATCGGCAAGCTGTTCAAAGTTGACCTTGTATCGGAGAATGGCACCGATACCACCGAATCCCTTGACGAACTGGTTTCCTTCGCCGGATCGGTCAGACACGAACTCCAGGTTGGCACCGAAGTCCTTGTAGGCCTCAGCGAGCCACTCTAGGAAAGAGCCTGATTCGATAACCTCCATATCCAATCCGGTTTCCTTGTCCACAAAGAGGTCCTTGTTGGCCTCCTGGATCTTGTTCGTGTGGACGATAACCTGGGAGCCTGCCGCGGTCTTCATAACCCAGCGAGTGATCTCCAAGTTTTCGTGAACGATCAAAATTTCAGCTGCACCAAGCTCCATTGCCTTGAGGGTATCCTCAATACCGTAGCAGACCTTGCCGGTGTCTTGGCTGATCTCCTGGAAGTACTGGCCAATAAGCTTCTTCTCCTGAACGAACTTGACATTGCTCAGGGTCTCGCCAGCCAATTCAATGGCCTGGTTGAAACCGTTCTCACCACCGTAGGAAACATCGACAATCTTGATAACCTTGGACTGCAAACGACCATCGAACAGATCGGACTGGTTGAGATCGTTCTTGAAATCGGCGGAACCAGCCAGCACGATACCAGCGACGTTGGGCTTGTCGTTGGTGATGTAGTTCTGAACAGCCAATTCAGCGATCTTACGCACGTAGTTGTGACGCTTTTCCTCACGGAGACGTGAGAAACGCAGAGCGGATTGACCACCACGGCCCTGTATGGATCAGTATGCATGAATATCGTACTCAATCAGTCGGGGCACTCACGTGCTTCTTGGGCAGATCAACGGAAAGACGCTGAAGAATCTCACGAGTGTTACCACTGAGAGTACCGAACAAAGTACCGTTACCGTCCATGACAATGAAACCGAACTTCTGATCAGCCTCCAAAAGTTCACTCAATGCTTCAGTGTGGAACTTGTTGTCGCAAAGGTAGAGGGAGGTGTTGATGGGCTTGAACGGTTCGAAATCGATGTTAATCTTGCGCTCCTTTCCTTCCGAGGTGATAATTTCACCACAGTACACGACTAGTCCATTGGGAGGGACCTTGTTGTAGAGCTTCAGACGCTGCTGGGTAGAGGTAATGGCCGACAGTACGGAGAGTCGGTTCACTCGAGACTTAATATTGGAGGCGGTACCCTACTGTGCGATTAGGCGGCGTTCGGCGCAGACAGATTGGGGGTATATAGTTCACGTACATACTCTTCAGCCAACATCTTGGCTGCTCTACTGATTTGATCCTTGGGGGCTAAATCGGTATATTAGCGGGCGACAGTAAGTGGCAGGGGGCAGTGACAGCGCACGAATAATGAGCGAAATCATAGAGGTTCCATTTCCACGAGCGGATTCAAGACGCTTGATCAGCTTCTTGACCTTCCAGATCTCGATATTCTTCTCAGCTTCGTTCGGCGGAGGGGCGCTCATCTTGACGAAGGCGACAGTTGATCAGA